AATACTTAAAGCAGCTCACAATAAAACCAATACAATATAATTCAAACCGAAATGAGCTGTCAGGTTTTTCAAACCATCTAAAGCAGTGGTTCTCAACCTTCCTAATGCCGTGACCCTTCAATACAGTTGCTCATGTTATGATGACCCTCAACTAAAATTATTTTAGTTGCTACTTCATAGCTGTAATTTTGCTACTGTTATGAATCTTGATATAAATATCTCATATGCATTTTCATTCACTGGACCTGGTTTGGCACAAATACCCGATACACCCATATCTGAATACTGGCTTGGGGAGGGGGTTGTTTTGTCATTTAGGAGTTGTAGTTACTGGGATTTATAGTTAACCCAGGAGCCCCCAGTGGTGCAGTGGGTTAAACCCCTGTGCTGGCAGGATTGAAGACCAACAGGTCGCAGGGTCAAATCCGGGTAGAGTGTGGATGAGTTCCCTCTGTCAGCTCCAGTTCACCATGTGGGGACATGAGAGAAGCCTCCCAAAAGGATGGTAAAAACATCAAAAAACATCCTGGCATCCATTGGGTAACATCCTTGAAGATGGCCAATTCTCTCACACCAGAAGCAACTTGCAGTTTCTCAAGTTGCCCCTGACATGAAAAAAAAAAGTTAACCTACAATCAAAGAGCATTCTGAACTCCACCAACAATGGAATTGAACCAAATTTGGCACACAGAGCTCCCATGACCAACAGAAAATACTGCAAGGGTTTGGGTAACATCGATCTTGAGTTTTGGAATTGTAGTTCACCTACATCCAGAGAGCACTGTGGACTCAAACAATGATGAATCTGGACCAAACTTGGCACAAATACTCAATATGCCCATATGTGAACACTGGTAGAGTTTGGGGAAAACAGACTTATAATATGTATTTTATAGAAATGTGTTTTAATATGTATTTTTATAGAACTTTTATGGAGCCTCCGGTGGTGCTGATGAACTTGCTGATCAAAAGGATGGCAGTTCGAATCCGGGGAGCAGGGTGACCTCCTGCTGTTAGCCCCAGCTTCTGCCAACCTAGCCGTTCAAAAACATGCAAATATACCAATAAAAAGAGTGAATTACCTAAAGCATTTACACAACAATTGGAAAATCTAAATCTGCAGGACACATGGAGGCAACATAAAGGAACAACCAGAGACTATACGTTTTTCTCTGGAAGGCATAGTTCCTGGTCACGCATTGACATGGTATGGGCGACCAAATCACTAAACCTAAGGATAAATAAAATAAATATACTAGCCAGAATACACTCAGACCACTGTGCAGTAGAATTCACAATTAAAGGAAAAGAGACAGCCTTCAGATGGAGACTGAAAGATCATTTGCTAGGAAAAGAAAAGGATATAGAAAGAAATAAAAAACTATTAAAAGAATATTTAGAGTTAAACAAGGGAGAAGACACTTCAAAAATTACGCAATGGGAAGCGATGAAAGTGGTCATGAGGGGATACCTAATACAACAAGAAGCTATAAACAAAAAAAACAGGAACAAAGAAACAACAGAAATCTTAGAAAAGCTCAAAAAAAATGAAGCCCTGCTCAAAAGAAACCCCAAAGACAAAAAAACGAATTTGATTATAAATCTGCTCCAAAAACAACTACAATCACTACAAAATGAGAATCTAGAGAAACAAATGAAATTTGCAAGAGTAAATCACTTTCAAAATGCGAATAAGATCGGCAGGTGGCTGGCAAACAAAATCAAAAAGAAAAAACAAAACCAACTGATAACTAAAATTCAAGTAAAAGGGAAAATATGCACTGAAGAAGACAGCATAGCCAATGAATTTATCACCTTTTATAAAGACCTTTATAAGAAAACAGAAGTGGATATGGAAAGAATAACTAAATACTTATGCCAGCTAAACATCACTAAGTTAACAGAGAAACAGAGAGAAAAGCTAAATGGGAAAATTACAATGTATGAGATAGATATGGCTATTAAAAAACTAAAAAGAAATAAAGCACCTGGCCCTGACGGATTCACTGCCCTATTCTACAAAACTTTCCAAAATGAGTTAAGTCCCCTGTTCCAAGAAATTGTAAATAACGCACTAAAAAACAAAACAATCCCAAAATCATGGGAAAAAGCAAATATAACCTTAATACATAAAGAAGGTACGGAACCAACGGAAATAAAAAATTATCGTCCGATTTCATTGTTGAACAATGACTATAAAATTTTCACAATAATCATGGCCGAAAGATTAAAAGAATTCTTAAAAGAATGGATATCGAAAGAGCAATCAGGGTTTTTACCCAACAGGCAACTGAAGGACAATACAAGAACCTTAATAAACGTAATTGAATATTATGAAAAACATAATGAAAAAAAGTTAGCACTATTATTTGTCGACGCTGAAAAGGCGTTCGACAAAGTCAATTGGAACTTTTTGAAATTATTACTAAAAGAAATTGACGTTGGATATCAGTTCAGAAATGTAATTGAGGCAATTTACAAAGATCAGGAAGCCAACTTAATAATTAACGGCCAGGAGATAAGGAAGACGATCAAAATAACCCAGGGTACGAGACAAGGATGTCCCCTGTCACCATTACTATTCATCCTAGTAATGGAAACCTTAGTAAGGAAAATAAACAATGATGCAAATTTAAAAGGTTTGAAAATCCTAAAACAGCATTACAAACTAAGAACTTACGCTGACGATGTGGTTTGCTTCACTGAAGAACCAATAAATAAGATAAAGGATTGGCTAAAAGCGATTGAAGACTTTGGGGTACTGGCAGGGTTCAAACTAAACAGACAAAAGACAAAATTAATAGTGAAAAATATAGACGAAAAAACAAAAACAATATTACAAGAAACAACAGGAATACAAATAGTAAATAAAATAAAATACCTAGGCATAAATGTGACAAAAAGCAACGCAGCCCTAATAAAGAACAATTACGAAATCTTATGGAAAAAAATACAAAAAAATCTGGCAAAATGGAACAGGCAAAATATATCCCTCTTGGGACGGATAGCAATAGTAAAAATGGTAATTCTTCCGCAGTTCCTATTCCTATTTCAAACTATCCCGGTAATCAGGACTAATCTTCTATTTAAAAAATGGAATTCAGGTATTTCAAAATTCATTTGGAAAAACCAAAGACCCAGAATTAGCATGAAATTATTAACAGACGACAAAAAAAGAGGAGGTCTAGGGTTACCAGACTTGAAGATCTACTATGAAGCCTGCAACTTAGTGGCAATAAAAGAATGGGCCACCCTAGCGAACAACCAAATGCTAACCTTAGAAGGACACGATCTCAGGGCAGGCTGGCACAGCTATTTATGGTATGGCAGAAAGAAAATAGAGAAGAGCTTCAGTGACCACTTCATAAGAGCTGCCTTAATCAAGACATGGGAAAAGTATAAAGCTAGATTTTATAGAAGAACCCCATTATGGATCTCATATGCCGAAGCAAAACACAAAAGAGAATTAGGAGAAGGAAATTGGCTAACATACCGCCAAATACTAAAAAAAAGGGAAGATGGAAGAATGGAGTTGAAACCCTTTGAAGAAATCAAAAAATTGAATGGGAAGCTTACATGGTTAAATTACTTCCAAATAAGGGAGGGATTTAAAGAAGACGAGAAACTAGGTTTTAATCATGAAAGAGGAACATGGGACATCATCATGGAGAAGAATAAAAAACTAATAAAAATACTATACAAACAGCTATTGCAATGGAACTTGGAAGAAGAACAAGTCAAAGAATGCCAAGTAAAATGGGCCAAGGATATAGGACACAGCATCCTGATGAGCCAGTGGGAGGAGATCTGGACCACCAAAATTAAATATGTCATTGCCAGCGATCTTAAAGAAAACTGGTATAAGATGTTCTACCGTTGGTATTGCACACCAGTGAAGATAGCGAAGTTCAACAGAAGCGCATCAGACAGATGCTGGAAATGTGGGAAGAAGGCAGGCACCTTTTACCACCAATGGTGGACCTGTAGAAAGATCAAGTTGTATTGGAAAAAGATACATCAGGCCATCCAAAAGATACTAAAGATTAACTTCCCAAGAACACCGGAAACATACCTACTAGGCATACAAAGCAAAATCAACCTAAATAAAAACCAAGATAAAATTCTATTCTTGTTAAGCACAGCGGCAAGATTGGTGATAGCCAGAAGATGGAAACAAAAAGAAGCCCCAACACAGGAGGACTGGCTCTTAAAAGCTTTTGACATCATTCAAATGGATGATCTAGGTCAAAGAATTAATGGAACAACTAGAAGAACAGACTGGACTGACTTCAAGGACTATATAAAAACAAAAGAAATACCAATAATAAGGGACCTGACCAGTATTTAATCAATGAAAAGAAAGTCGAAGGAAGGAATATCAGCGCGAAGGACGAAAATGGAAATTCTACCACCGAAGAAGACAATTTCCCGGACCACTGTGGGAAGTCACACACAGATAAGAACTGAAGACTTAAGGGCACAGGGGTGGGGGCTGGAAGGGGAAAAGCTGATTTTAGGTGTGGGGAACGGCTTTCTCTTACACACTTTTTCTTTCACCCCCTCTTTCCCCCCCCCTCTCCGCTGCCCCATACAACCACCCCCCCTTCCCTCTTCCATATTTACCCTCACTCAGCTCTTTATGCTATTCACTGAACTATTATTTATTATAAATCATAAAACCCAATAAAAACTATTAAAAAAAACATGCAAATATGAGTAGATCAATAGGTATCGCTTCTGCAGGAAGGTAACAGCGCTCCATGCAGTCATGCTGGCCACATGACCTTGGAGGTGATTATGGGCAATGCCAGCTGTTTGGATTAGAAATAGAGATGAGCACCACTCCCAGAGTGGACACAACTAGACTTAATGTTGAGGGGAAACCTTTACCTTTTATAGAACTACATTTTAATATGTGCGTTTATAGAAATTTTGCAATGTTTTGTGTGTTTTGACTGTGCTGAGGCCTGCCTCGAGCCACAAGAGAGGCAAGTAAGAAATAAAATTATTATTCTTATTATATTTGAGTGAGGAAGAAACCAACCTCTGCAATATAAAAATATATAATCTTCACCTTTCTAACAAGTAGAAAGTTTAAGGTTGGCACTGTAGTACCAAGGCTGAGTCCTTTGGGTGGATGGGGCCACTAGTCCCGGGGTTGAGAGATGCTATGTGGTCAGGGCTAGGCCAGGTCCGAGGTCCTGATTCCAGCCTCTTCCTCCTCTTCTGTCCACTTTGGGCCATTGTCCAGAGAGGCCTCGGGGGAAGCTGAGCTTTGTTGCTGCAGTTTCTTCAGGTGGAAGCGGTGGGACTTGGATTTGAGGTGAGCTGCCGAGACATGAAGAAGAATAAATAGAATAGAATAACTTTATTGTCATTGTGCATCATACGACAAAATTAAATACTATCCCCAATATTCATTACATATGTAGTATTACAAAACAAAATCACACATCCTTCCACATTCTAATTCTATTGCATAACCCCTAATGCCACATCACTGTGAAACCAAAGAGTTGCATATAGTCTTGGCTCTAGGATAAAAGCTTTCCCTCAGCCTATTTGTCCTATACCTATACCTATTTGTCCTATACCTATACCTATTTGTCCTATACCTATACCTATTTATTTTATTTTTATTTATTTTGTTTATTTTATTTTATTTATCCTATACCTATTTATTTATTTGTCCTATATCTATACCTATTTATCCTATACCATCTGCCAGATGGCATGCACAAAACCACACACACACATATATACACATATACGCAAACACACACACATATACACAAATATATATACACATGCATATACACATATATGCACATACAAAACACATACACAGATTGGGCCACAGCAATACGTGGCAGGGGATGGCTAGTCTACTATAAGCTCCTTGGTCTTAATGATGTTAAGAACCAAATGATTATCCCTGCACCATGAGTGCAGCTGTACCATTTGGAAGATCCTCAGAAATGGGACCACTGAACTGTAAAGGCTTTTCTACCCTACAATGCCAGCAAGACCAAGGGCACATCTACATTGGAGAGTGGAAGCAGTCTGACCACTCTTCAACTGCCATGGCTCAATGTTAGGGAACCAGGTTGTTAGCCTTCTCCAAAAAACAATGCTGGTGCCTCATCAAACTACGTATCCCAGGATTCCATGTCAAATGTCAAAGTGGTATCAAACGGTGTCAATTCTACGATATAGATGCACCCTTCAACCTGCTTCTTCTCTTGGGAGGCCTGAATTGTGTTTCCAAATGCTCAACTGAAGTCACTGCAGTGCTACTGCTGCCATTATTATGATTATCACAATGATATTATTATTATTTGATAGACACAGCAAACATGATGCTGGTTTTTGTATTCAATCACACATCAGAAACATCCCAAGTGGCTAAGACTGTGTGATGTATCAGCGAATCTGAGTAGGGTAGCCTTTTGCAATACACCGATAGTAAATTTGGTAGCGCTGGTTGTTTTTAAGTGCAGGTCAAGCTCTTTAGGCATTGCACCAAGTGTGCTGATCACCACTGGGACCACCTTGACTGGCTTGTGCAAGAGTCTTTGCAGTTTGATCTTTAAATCCTCATATCATGTAAGCTTTTCCAGTTGCTTCTTGTCGATTCTGCTGTTGCCTGGGATTGCAACATTGACGATCCACACTTGGTTTCTTCCCACAGTTGTGAGGTCAGGAGTACTGTGCTCCAAAACTCTGTCCCAGAGTAGTTGGATGTGTTCATTTTCTGTAACTTTGTTAGGCTTGTGATCCCACCAGTTCTCTGTCACAGGCAGATGGTATTTGTGGCACAAGTTCCAGTAACGGCATTGTGTCTCTGCTTACAGTCCATCTGCGCGATATTCTTGCAGCGGCTGTGGATCCATCATTTTGTCTGCCTCCTTGCAGAGTCTATACTTGGAATCTGTCGCTGACTTTTCAATTCTGGCTTTGATGGCATTGGTTCTAATTGTTTGTTTTTGGGCTAACAGAATCAGACCCTCCATCTCCTTTTTCAAAGTTCCATTTGTGAGCCACATCCATGTTTTTTCCTTGTCAATTTTGTTCTTAATTTTTTCCCAGGAACTGTCCATGGAGAGCCTTCTTTCGCCAGTTTTCTCTTCTGCTCTGCATTGTATTTTTATGGTATTCACTCTTTGTCTCTTGTACTTTAAGTTAGTTTTCTACTACTGACTTACAACAATGTTGGTTCTTGACTGCCTTTCACATAATCTTCCAGCGCATGTTTCTCTTCTTTTATGGTTTGTTTCACTTGCAGAAGCCCTCTGCCTCCTGATTTTCTGAGCAGGTAAAGTTTATTGACATCACTACGCGGGTGTAATGAGTAGTGGATTGTCATCAGTTTTCTTGTTTTTCTGTACAGATCATCCAGCTCTGCTTGCATCCAGTTCATAATTCCAGATTTCGGGGATAACCTATGTGTTGATAGCCCTGATCGTATTATTATTATTATTATTATTATTATTATTATTATTATTATTATTATTATTGAGACAAAACAGTATGCCACAGCAAATGAGATCTCTATGCTGGATATTATTATTATTATTATTATTATTATTATTATTATTATTATTATTACCACCACCATCACAACACTGCTCCCCCACAAGGATTGGACCCAAGGCAGTTGCCAACTCAAAAGCAATACCATTTAAAAACATACAAAAAGTAAATGTTAAAATAAATGAAATTGAATGCTACCATCAACCAACAATGTTGGGACCAAAGGGAAATTTCACAAGACGAACAGAATTCATAAATGCCTTCCTTCTGCCCCTTGGCTGTTGCTATCTCTTAAATTACACTATGTAACAAAATTTGAAAAAAAATCTGTTCCTAGTTTTGAAAGTGTTATTTCCTGTTTAATTGTGCAGTCCCTACTTTGAAAGTAGGTGTTCTACTCCAGAAAAATTGTTTTTGTGGCTGCAACAAACTAGATTTAATTGGTTGAGACTCAATGATGAGATATTTATTGAAAAACTAGAGCAAAAAATGCTGCTGGATGTCCCTCCCATAAAAACAAAGTTGTCATAGTTTAAATAAACTTTTCCCATGTTTTTATGATATGACCAATTAGCAAATGACATTTTTACAAAAATAATGTTGCATAGTGTTATGAGAGTCTTTCTCTCCCAGAGGAGGGAAGCAAAGCACAGCCCAGAATTCAGATGAAATAGTCTCTGTTTCTCTCTTCCTCCTCCTTCTCTTTGTCCAAGGAGCAGACAATGGGAGCGTCTCCTGTTACACTGGGGAGGGGGGGGGGGGAGGTCCTGAAGAGAGGTCTGGACTGCAGCAACAGATGGCCGCTTCTTCTTGGAGCTCAGCTTAGGTTGCCCACCGCCCCTCTTGCTGCAAAGGGGCCCCTTCCATAAAGGAGGGCTGTAAACAATGCCTTGGGGAGAAGGGTTCTTTTGTTGGAGAGATGGAGGAGGAGGAGAAGCCTTTATATCCCCAAATAATGGGGAGGGGGTACGATCGCCCCTTTGCCCTGCGTTTCCACCCCATTCCCTCTCTCAAGCCCCGCTGCTCGGGTGCCCCTTTCCCCTGAAGCCTCACCTTTCCATTCTCGGTCGCCAATGATGACCCTTTGGCAGGCCTCGCAGGGATGGCAGCTCCGCTTGTCTTCTTCTGAAGGGTCGCAGGGCACTTTGAAGGGCTCCACAGCTGGTGTTTGGCCCTAGGGGAGGAAATAATACATAATGCAAATCATAGGATCCTAGAGTTGGAAGAGGCACCCAAAGGTCATCCAGTCCAGCCCCCTTCTGCCAGACAGGAAGTTGAAGTCCATGCCTACATGACAAATGGCGATACAGCCTCATAGGATCCCAGAGTTGGAAGGGGCACCCAAAGGCCATCAAGCCCTTCTGCTAGACAGGAAGAAACAGCCCAGGCCCTCCTGAAAGATGGCCATACAGCCTCATACAATCCCAGTGTTGGATGGGGCACCCAAAGGCCATCCAGTCCAGCCCCCTTCTGCCAGACAGGAAGTTGAAGTCCAAGCCTACATGACAAATGGCGATGCAGCCTCATAGGATCTCAGAGTTGGAAGGGCCATCGAAAGGCCATCAAGCCCTTCAGCCAGACAGGAAGACACTCCCGAAAGATGGCCATACAGCCTCATACAATCCCAGAGTTGGAAGGGGCACCCAAAGGCCACCCAGTCCAGCCCCTTCTGCCAGGCAGGAAGACACAGTCCAAGCCCTCCTAAGAGATGGCAGCACAATCTCACAGAATCCCATAGTTGGAAGGGGCACCCAAAGGCCATCCAGTCCAGCCCCCTTCTGCCAGGCAGGAAGACACAGTTAGAGCCCTCCTGACAGAAGACCATACAGGTTCCTAGAATTCCAGGCTTGGAAATGGCACCCAAAGGCTATCCAGTGCAGCCCCCTTCTGCCAAGCAGAAAGATACCGTCCAAGCCCTCCCAAGAGATGGCCACACAGCCTCATAGAATCATGGAGTTGGAAGAGGCACCCAAAGGCCATCCATGCAAGAAGACACAGTAGAGCCCTCCTGACAGATGCCCTTCCAGCCTCTGTTTAAAAATCTCCAAAGAAGGAGGCTCTGCCTGGCAGGACCTATACACCTGAAAAAAAACCCCTGTTCCTTTTTATTTGTGGGTTCAAAGCCCAGTAGACCCTAACTGCTAACCTGCAGGAAGCTCTCTATGATCTGGACAGCAGGCTCCAAGACTTTCTCCTCCCATTTGGAGAGATCCGAGACGTCCAGGCCATAAACAGGGGGAACGTTGGGTCCAGGGCCTACGGAGAAACCCAGCAGAGAACATCAATGGTCAACACTATATCCTCATGAATTTGGGCTTTTATTCTCATGCCCTTCATCTTCCACTAGAAAGAATCCTGCAGAGGCTACTTGCAAAGACTACACACTCACATCTCACTTGGAATAACACTATGTGACATGATTTTTGTTCCTGGGTTATAAATGTAATTTCCTAATTGTTTCTATCATCAAAACATGGGAAAAGTTTATTAAATTGCAAAAGCTTTGTTTTTGTAAGAAGGATATCCTGCTATAACACATTTTGCTCTAGTCTTTCAATCAATATCTCATCGAGTCTCAAATCAATTCAACATAGTTTGTGGCGTTCACAATAAATGAAGTTTCTGGAGTAGAACAACTACTTTCAAAGTAAGGACCACACTATTAAACAGGAAATAACACTTTCAAACCAGGAGCAAACAATTTTTCAGATTTTGTAATAACCCTGTGTCCAGTTTCCCCAATTCCAGAAGGAGGTGGACATGAAGGGGTCTGGGTAAAGGTCTGGAAACCATGAATCCCTTTGAACAGCAGCTGAGGAAACTGGGATTAGCTTGGAGAAAAGTAGGCTGAGAGGGAATACATTGGGAAGACCTTCCTGATGGTAAGAGCTGGTTGACAGTGGAATATGATGCTTTTGAGTTACGTTGAGTTTCCTCTAGGGGTACTTAAGCAGAGGCTGGATGGCCATCTGTTGGGGGGGGGGGCTTTGATTGTGGCAGAATGGGGTTGGACTGGATGGACTTTGGAGGTAGCTTCCTATAATATTGGACCTGCAATTTAGACTGCCTGGGAGTCAACAGGACTCTGTCTATAAAGGTTCTTAAGCAAGGAATGGATGGCCATCTGTAGGGAGGGCTTTTTTATGTTTCCTATACATTCTATGGAGCCCCCAATGGCGCAGTGTGTTAAAGCACTGAGCTGCTGAACTTGTTGACCGAAAGGTCGCAGGTTCAAATCCAGGGAGCAGCGTGAGCACCCGCTGTTAGCCTCAGCTTCTGCCAAACTAGCAGTTCGAAAACATGCAAATGTAAGTAGATCAATAGGTACTGATCCAGTGGGAAAGTAATGGCGCTCCATGCAGTCATGCCAGCCACATGACCTTGGAGGTGTCTACAGACAACGCCGGCTCTTCGGCGTAGAAATGGAGATGAGCACCACACCCCAGAGTCGGACACGACTGGACTTAATGTCAGGGGAAAACTTTACCTTTTATACATGCTATACACATAGTTCAAAAGTAATGTTATACACATAATCTTTCATAATTTTGTGCATGAAATGAAATTTGTTTACACTGAACCATCAGAAAGCAAAAACGTGTTTTGGAGGATTTTGGCTATATGGCCATCTGTCAGGAGGGCTTTGATTGTGGCAGGATAGAGTTGGACTGGATGGCCTTTGGAGATCCCTTCCAACTCCATGACTCTACGCTTTCCCTGCAGGGCCAGCTCCCTTCTAAGCTCCTTGTCTGCCAGGTGGCTGCACCGGTTTGACAGCTCAACAGCGACAGGGCCAGAAAGCCCTCCTAGGGAAAAGGTCCCGAGCAGGCGATCCCTCTTCTGCTGCTGCAAAGCCCCGCCAAGGGCGCAGGCGCACCTGTTGGCACAGGAAAGGCACACACCTCACCTGGCGCCCGTACTTGCACCTGCATCCCTTCTGCCTTCCATTGTCTTAGGTTTCTCCGAAGGTTTGTCCTCCGCTTGAACTGACCCAAAGGAGGAGGGACTTCCCTCGGCTCCCAGCTGCCAGCCCTGGATGGACTCCAAGACACTGGTGCCAAGAGAGGCTAGCCTAGGCATCCCTCTCTCCCTCCACATCATTCACCAAGGAAGAGAATCCCAGCGTTGGAAGGGACCCAAAGGCCATGTAGTCTAGCCCCCTTCTGCCAGGCAGGAAGGGACAAGCCAAGCCCTCCCGACAGATGGCCATCCAGTCTCATAGACATTTGCAGGTTCTTGGAAAAATAGGGCTATAGAATTGAAGATTCTTAGAGCTATGAGGGACCACAAACACCATCCAGTCCAGCCCCTTTCTGCAAAGCAGGAAGGCACAACCCAAGCCCTCCTGACAGATAGCCACCCAGCCTCATTAGACATTTACAGGTTCTTGGAGAAACAGGGCTGTAGAATTAAAGACTCCTAGAGCTGGAAGGGACCCCAAAGGCCATGTTGTCCAGCCCCCTTCTGCCTGGCAGGAAGACACAACTCAAGCCCTCTCGACAGATGGCCACCCAGCCTCATTAGACATTTTCAGGTTCTTGGAGAAATAGGGCTGCAGAATTAAAGACTCCTAGAACTGGAAGGGACCCCAAAGGCCATCCAGCCCAGCACCCTTCTACCAGGCAAGGAGGCACAACCCAAGCCCTCCTGACAGATAGCCTTCCAGCCGCATAGACATTTACTGGATCTTGGCGAATCAGGGCTGTAGAATTAAAGACTTCTAGAGCTGGTAGGGGCCCCAAAAGGTTATGTTGTACAACCCCCTTCTGCCAGGCAGGAAGACAAAACCCAAGCCCTCCTGACAGATGGCCATCCAGCCTCATAGACATTTGCAGGTTCTTGGAGAAATAGGGCTGTAGAATTAAAGACTCCCAAAGTTGGAAGGGACACCAAAGATCATGTAGCCCAGCCCTTTTCTGCCTGGCAGGAAGGCACAACCCAAGCCCTCCCAAAAGATGGCCATACAGCCTCATAGAATCATAGAGCTGGAACAGGCACCCAAAGGCCATCCAGTCCAGCCCTCTTCTGCCATGTAGGAAGATGCATTCCAAGCCTTAATAACAAATGGCCTTACAGCTGCATAGAATCCCAGAGTTGGAAGTGGCACCCAATAGCCATCCAGTCCAGCCCCCTTCTGCCAGGAAGGAAGGCATAACCCAAGCCCTCCCAACAGATGGCCATTTAGATTCATAGACATTTGCAGGTTATTGGAGAAATTATTGGAGAATTAAAGACTCCTAGAGCTGAAATGAACCCCAGATACCATGTAGTCCAGACCGCTTCTTCCTGGCAGGAAGACACAACCCAAGCCCTCCTGACAGATGGCCATCCAGCCTCATAGACATTTACAGGTTCTTGGAGAAATAGGGCTGTAGACTTTAAAGACTCCTAGAGCTGGAAGGGACCCCAAAGGCTATGTAGCCCAGCCCGCTTCTTCCAGGCAGGAAGGCACAACCCAAGCTTTCTCGACAGATAGCCACCCAGCCCCTGCTTCAAAACCTCAATAGAGACTCCAGGGAACTCTTAGGCAGAAACAGATTCCACAGCTGAACAGCTGACCTCGGAAACAATTTTGGTGGGGGCCAAGTTCAAAAGCTGGAATAGCTCCCTTCAAGTTTGGGTTAAAAATTAAAACAAAATCCCTATTTATCATTCTAATGCAGAACCATTTTGAACAAGGCAGATCCAAAATGGATTGATTGGGGCCTGGGCTTCTCTTAAAAGACTGCATTGTCTTGAAAGGAAAACAGGGCTGTTGTGGAACTTCCTCATCTGCAAGGGGAAAGACACTCTGCACATGCCCAAAGTAACCCTGGCTTTGATTCTTAACTGAGGAATTGTAGGGGAAAGAACTGGAAAACATTTGCTGGAAATGGGGCACACTTACGCTGGAGGAAGCGGTTCCGGACCCACTTGTTCTGCTTCCGGGCGTAACGCTTGGTCACAATCTTCAGGGCCTCAATGCCTGGAACGAGCCAAAAGGAAAGGTGTTCGTATTGATGCAATTCTAATGTGCCATCAAATCTAATGTGCAACTCTATTTTCAAAACCCTAAAAACAAAAAAAGTATTTGCTGCCGCATGTAATGCTCAGTGGGAAAAAATGCATTTTGTAATTTGTCCCAAAAACGTGCAAATTATAGCAGCTGCCTGCTTAGGATTCCTTCCTGAAAAACAAAAGTGTTAGAACACCAAAGCTTTCAGCAATGGAAAAGAAAACCTTGGAGTTCATCTATGTTGTAGAATGAATGCACTTGTCCTGATTCGATGCTATGGGATTATAGGAGCCGCCAAATAATGCAGATGCCTCACCAAACTACAAATCCCGGGATTGCATAGCAGTGGACCCTGGCTGTTTAATTAGAGATGATGTCCATTAAATAGGGGCTTTATGTGTTCCTGAAGCAGCTTCCCCTTTTGCTTCGGCTAAGCAGTAAGATCACCATATGACCTCAATTTAATGTCGACCCTCATTTTGGGAAGGTAATTTAGCCCAAGCAGCCCTCTGGTGGTGCAGCGGGTTAAACCGCTGAGCTGCTGAACTTGCTGACCGAAAGGTCAGTAGTTTGAATCCAGGGAGCGAGGTGAGCTCCCGTCATTAGCCCCAGCTTCTGCCAACCTAGCAGTTCGAAAACATGCAAATGTGGGTAGATCAATAGGTACTGCTTCGGCGGGAAGGTAATGGTGTTCCATGCAGTCATGCCGGCCAAATGACCTTGGAGGTGTCTATGGACAATGCCGGCTCTTTGGCTTAGAAATGGAAATGAGCACCACTCTCCAGAGTCGGACACGATTAAACTTAATGTCAAGGGGAAACCTTTACCTTTTAGCCCAAAAAGGTGAGCATTAGATTTGAGTAAATACAGTAATTGCAAAGCAAGGGGGGTGAAGGGAAAAGAGAACCTGGGCCAATGCCAGGAGTCAGGCGCCAGGCAGGTGAGGTGCATCTCTTTGCCAAAAGCCTCAAGGAAGAGGGAAGGTTTGCTTTCAGATAGGAGAAAAGAGGAGCAAGGCATGTGAAGGAGAGACAGCGTAAAAGTCGGGCCAAACTTTGTGCAGGTTGCAACGCGTCCTTCCCTTGAGGAGGAACCCTGACATTTCGTGACAAGGCTGGGAAAGTGGATCCCATGATGTTCCCGGGAACCGGTTCCAGATCTCTGCATCGAAAGGGAGAGCCAAGTCCCACCACCTTCCAGATGCCTACCTTGTCCATTTTAATGTATACATTGTACATTTACATTTTACTAATATTATTGGGCTTGCACTCTTTGATCTCTGTTCTTAAGACATGTAATTTTATGGTCCTTTGTTTTATCCATGTATTTTTAACTATGTCGAATCCCCACCCCCCAAGCTGTAAGGAGAGGCAGGTAAACAAATACAATATATTATTACACAATGTAATATGATTTGATATGTAACTATGCAATGATGGCTAAGCAGTTTAAAACGCTAAGCTGCAGAACTTGCTGATCGGAAGGTTAGCAGTTCAAAACCGCAGACGAGGTGAGTTCCTGTTATTAGCCACAGCTTCTGTCAAACTAGCAGTTCGAAAACATGCAAATGTGAGATCAACAGGTACCGCTTCAGCAGGAAGGTAATGGCGCTCCATACAGTCATGCCAGCCACATGACCTTGGAGGTGTCTACGGACAACACCAGCTCTTCGGCTTAGAAATGGAGATGGGCATCACCCCCTACAGCAGTGGTTCTCAACCTTCCTAATGCCGTGACCCCTTAATACACTTCTTCATGGTGTGGTGACCCCCCAACCACAAAATTATTTTAATTTCTATTTCATAACTACTTTTGCTACTGTTACGAATCATAATGTAAATATCTGATATGCAAAATGTATTTTTATTCACTGGACCACATTTTGCACAAATACCCGATACGCCCAAATTTGAATACTTGTGGGGTTGGGGGTGGGGTTGATTTGGTTATTTGGGAGTTGGAGGTGCTGGGATTTATAGTTCACCTACAATCAAAGAGCATTCTGACATTCACCAACAATGGAATTGAACCAAACTTGGCACACAGGACTCCCATAACCAACAGGAAGGGTTTGGTGGGCACTGACCTTGAATTTGGGAGTTGTAGTTCACCTACATTCAGAGAGCACTAACAATGATGGATCTGGACCAAACTTGGCACAGATATTCAATATGCCCAAATGTGGACATTGGCGGAGTTTGGGGAAATTAGACATTTGGGAGTTGTAGTTGCTGGGATTTATAGTTCACCGAAAATCAAAGAGCATTCTGAACCCCACCAATGATAGAATTGGGCCAAACTTCCCACACAGAACCCCCATGACCAACAGAAAATACTGTGTTCTTATGGTCTTTGGCGACCCCTCTGACACCCCCTGGTGACCCCCACAGGGGTCCCGACCCCTAGGTTGAGAAACACTGCCCTACAGTCATGTCAAGTGGACACCTTTACCTTAATACAATTTTTGTTCCTAAGTCATAAATGTCATTTCCTAATTGGTTTGTATCATCAAAACATGGAGAAAGATTATTAAACTTATTTTTGCGGGAGGGATATCCTGCAGCACAGTTTTTCAATGAATCTCTACACAGAGTCTCAACCAATTCAACCTAGTTTGTGGCAACCACAAAAACAAAGTTTCTGGAGTACATAGAACAGCTACTTTCAAAATCAGTATGGCACAATTAAACAGGAAATAATACTTTCAAACCAGGAACATACAATTTTGTTACGTAGTGTTATGATTACTATCATTGGTATTATGACTATTATTGCATTTCTTTCCTTCTAAGATGTTGATTGTCATTTTCCATGCCACCAACAGAAAAAAGATATGAGAAAGCAGCTGCCATCCTAATGTCCACCCCATTAAACCTTGCGTCGGCAGGACTGAAGACCGACAGGTTGCAGGTTCGAATCCAGGGAGAGCCCGGATGAGCTCCCTGTTAGCTCTGGCTCCCCATGCAGGGACATGAGGGAAGCGTCCTACAAGGATGGTAAAACATCAAAACATCCGGACATCCCCTGGGCAATGTCCTTGCAAATGGCCAATTCTCTCACACCAAAAGCAACTTGCAGTTTCTGAAGTCGCTCTTAACACAAAAGAAAATGTAATAAAATGTTTATAATGTAAGCTACTTAGACTCTCCTTTGTGGAGAGAAATAGTGGGGTATAAATAATAATAATAATAATAATAATAATAATAATAATAATAATAGGGAAAGTGCATCAGAATTGAAAAAAATAGATCATTATTATTACTACTACTACAACAACACATAGCAGCGCCCCACACAAGCTTGGGGGATACTGAGAGTCGCAGACCACAAGTATCTAGAAGGAGCTGTGACACCATTTAAACAGGAAACGCTGTCAGAAATATTAAAAATTAACTGGGTATTTTTGATTACAAAAGCGTGAGTCAAGAACTGAAAGAGTGAGTAGGCCGAAGCCTGTTAGAGTCAGTGGGCCAAAGCTAGTGTCGGTCTGAGGACAGCGAGTAGGCCGAAGCCCGTTAGAGTTAGTGGGCTAAAGCTAGTGTCGTCCTGAGGAGACTGAGTAGGCCAAAGCTTGTTAGAGTTAGTTGGCCAAAGCTAGTGTCGTCCTGAGGATAGTGAGTAGGCCAAAGCCTGCTAGTCAGTGGGCCAAAGTTAGAGTCGCCTGAGAAGAGCGAGTAGGTCGAAGCCCATTAGTTAGTGGACCAAAGCTAGTTTTGTCCTGAGGAGAATGAGTAGGCCAAAGCTCGTTAGAGTTAGTAGCCCAAAGCTAGTGTTGTCTTGAGGAGAGTGAGTAGGCCGAAGCCCGTTAGAGTTAGAAGCTCAAAGCTAGTGTCATTCTGAGGAGAGCAAGTAGGCCAAAGCCTGTTAGTCAGTGGGCCAAAGCTAGTGTCATCCAGAGGAGAGTGAGTAGGCCAAAGCCAGTTAGTTAGTGGGCCAAAGCTAGTGTCGTTCTGAGGACAGTGAGTAGGCCGAAGCCCGTTAGAGTTAGTTGGCCAAAGCTAGTGTTGTCCTGAGGAGAATGAGTAGGCCAAAGCCTGCTAGTCAGTGGGCCAAAGTTAGAGTCGTCTGAGGAGAGCAAGTAGGTCGAAGCCCATTAGAGTTAGTGGAGCAAAGCTAGTTTTGTCCTGAGGAGAATGAGTAGGCCAAAACTCGTTAGAGTTAGTGGGCCAAAGCTAGTGTTGTTCTGAGGAGAGTGAGTAGGCTGAAGCCTGTTAGAGTTAGTGGGCCAAAGCTAGTGTCGTAGGCTTCGGCCTACTCACTGAGGAGAGTGAGTAGGTCGAAGCCCGTTAGAATTAGTAGCCCAAAGCTAGTGTTGTCTTGAGGAGAGTGAGTAGGCCGAAGCCCATTAGAGTTAGTAGCCCAAAGCTAGTGTCGTTCTGAGGAGAGCGAGTAGGCCAAAGCCTGTTAGTCAGTGGGCCAAAGCTAGCGTCGTCTGAGGAGAGTGAGTAGGCCAAAGCCAGTTAGAGTTAGTGGGCCAAAGCTAGTGTCGTCCAGAGGAGAATGAGTAGGCCAAAGCCAGTTAGAGTTAGTGAGCCAAAGATAGTGTCGTCCAGAGGAGAGTGAGTAGGCCAAAGCCAGTTAGAGTTAGTGGGCCAAAGCTAGTGTCGTCCTGAGGAGAGTGAGTAGGCCAACGCCGGTTAGAGTTAGTGGGCCAAAGCTAGTGTTGTCCTGAGGAGAGTGAGTAGGCCAAAGCCAGTAAGAGTTAGTGGGCCAAAGCTAGTGTCGTTCTGAGGAGAGTGAGTAGGCCAAAGCCAGTTAGAGTTAGTGGGCCAAAGCTAGTGTCGTTCTGAGGAGAGTGAGTAGGCCAAAGCCAGTTAGAGTTAGTGAGCCAAATCTAGTGTCGTCCAGAGGAAAGTGAGTAGGCCAAAGCCAGTTAGAGTTAGTGGGCCAAAGCTAGTGTCGTTCTGAGGAGTGAGTAGGCCAACGCTGGTTAGAGTTAGTGGGCCAAAGCTAGTGTTGTCCTGAGGAGAGTGAGTAGGCCAAAGCCCGTTAAGATTTAGTTGGCCAAAGCTAGTGTTGTCCTGAGGAGTGTGAGGTAAACCTCTGTGTGAGAGAGGCCTTGTGTAAAAAAGTTCCTCACCTTTTTCCAGGAGCTGCTGACTCTCCTCCTCTGGACACTGGCCCTCCGTGATGAGGAATTGGTGGAATTCCTTGAAACCAATGGACTGGAAAATGCCGTGTTGGTAGTCCTGGCTGAGAGGGAAGGGAAACATGATCCAAGCCCACAGGGAGGACAAAGTGCAATGCACACAGCATGCATCACATTCATGGCAGGCCCCTATTAGCCCAGGGACAGGGAAAATGTCACCCACAAGCAGCTCCTGGAAACAGACTTTGTACCATGTTGTCAAAGGCTTTCTTGACCAAAATCACTGGGTTGCTGTGAGTTTTCCAGGCTGTATGGCCATGTTCCAGAAGCATTCTCTCTTGACATTTCACCCACATCTATGGCAGGTATCCTCAGAGGTTGTGAGGTATATTGGAAACTAAGCAAGGGAGGTTTATATATTTGTGGAATGTCCAGGGTGGTAGAAAGAACTGTTTTGTCTGTTTGAGGCAAGTGTGAATGCAGCAATTTAGCACCTTGATTACCACTGAATAGCTTTGCAGCTTCAAGGCTTGGCTGCTTCCTGAATGAAGGAATCCATTGTTGGGAGGTGATTCAATGGCCCTGATTGTTTTGTGTCTGGAATTCCCCTGTTTTCTGAGTGTTGTTTTTTATTTACTGCCCTGATTTTAGAGTTTGTTTTAAGACTGATAGCCAGATTTTGTTCATTTTCGTGGTTTCCTCCTTCCTGTTGAAATTGTGCACATGCTTGTGGATTTCAATGGCTTCTCTGTGTAGTCTGACATGGTAGTTGTTGAGGTGGTCCAGCAGCCAAGCCTGGAAGCTGCAAGGCTATTCAGTGCTAATCAAGGTGATCAGTTGCTATAGGAGCCCCCGGTGGCGCAGTGGGTTAAACCCCTGTGCTGGCAGGACTGAAAACCAACAGGTCGCAGGTTCAAATGCGGGGAGAGGCGGATGAGCTCTCTCTACCAGCTCCAGCTCCTCAAGCGGGGACATGAGAGAAGCCACCCACAAGGATGATAAAACATCAAATCATCCGGGTGTCCCTTGGGCAATATCCTTGCAGATGGCCAATTCTCTCACACCAGAAACGACTTGCAGTTTCTCAAGTCTCTCCCAACCCAACAAAAAAAAATGCTATACTGGCCTGAGTAGGATAAACAAAGGTCCCAGAACATAAGTTGGAATTGCAGTCTGTTAGAGTAGTCAAACTGGAGTCCTTGAGTCAAACCAATAGTTGTTTAAGGAGAGTAGAGAACACCGAGTTGTTGCTGCTTTCGCGGACAGAAGGAACTAAGGCCTCAAGCCCCGCTGCCTGGCTTTATTACTAAAGTGGATGGGCGGGGCTGGAGTCCCTGATTTGGCAAAAGCTTTTCAATAAGGATCCGAATCAGCTGCGTGGACGCAGGAAATACCACAGGTGTGGATTTCACAGTGATCACACTGAAGAAATATAAACCTCACTTGCCTAGTTTCCAACAGACCTCACAACCCCTGGAGGATGCCTGCCATAGATGTGGATGAAACATCAGGAATGCTTCTGGAACGTAGCCATACAGCCTGAAAACCACAGCAACCCAGACTTTGTAGCCCTTAGCCCCTCCAGAATCAGAGGAAGGGGCACCCAAAGGCCATCTAGTTTACCCTCATTCTGCCAGGCAGGAAGGCGCAGTTCAATAGATAACCATATAGCAAAAAAGAATCTAGTTCAGCCTTATTCATGACAGGAGGCACCATCCAATTGCTCCCAAAGGATGGCCATCTAGCCCCTGCTTAAAAGACCTTCAGAGAAAGACAGCATTGGCTTCCAAGGCAGTCTATATTCCACTAGAGTTGGAAGGGACCCCCAAAGACCATCCAGTCCACACTCCATTCTGCCAGGCAGAAAGACACCATCCAACTACTCCTGACAGATGACTATCCAGCCTCTATTTAAAGGCCTCTAGAGAAGGAGACTACCAGGCCAAAAATACCCTTCCAAGATGAAAGGGCACGAACCTGTTGGAAGCTGCCCACTTTTCGTTCCCCAAGGTCATTGCAGAGACCCCTCCTCACCAGTTCTCCGCCACCTTCTGCTGGTTGTGCCGCCGGTGAAAACTGCGCAGCTCCTCCAAAAGCCCAGCTTGGAGCATGGCTTCCACACGTTTATCCAGGCGCTCCTCCAGGACTGAAAAGAGAGATGCCCACTGAGCACCCAAAAGAGGACTGAGAAAGTATTAAGTACCTAGCATCTACACTGTAGATCAGGCTTAAGCGGCTGAGGAGGAAAAGGAAGGGCCTGATGCTGTTAGGAATTGTGGAAGTTGGGGTCCAAAACAAAGGAGGGCCCAAGTTTGCCCATGCCTGCTGTAGACTAAAGAAGTCCGTTTAAGACTTACCATTCCTCAATGCTGCGAAATCACAGGAAAGATCTACAGAGACATTCGCTGGAACACCTCAGCAAGCGAGAGTCCAAAAGTGGCAGGCTCAAACCCAGAACCTCAACCAATGGCTGATAACAAATGAGAGACTCCCCCCTGGGCACACAGAAGACTGGGCGACTTGGAAGGCGCTGAACAGACTGCGCTCTGGCACCACGAGATGCAGAGCCAACCTCAAGAAATGGGGCTACAAAGTGGAAGCCACAACATGCAAGTGTGGAGAAGAGGAAACCACAGACCACCTGCTGCAATGCAAGCTGAGTCCTGCCACATGCACAATAGAGGACCTTCTTGCAGCAACACCAGAGGCACTCCAAGTGGCCAGACACTGGTCAAAGGACATTTAATCAACTACCAAACTCACAAATTTTGTATTTTTTCTGTTTGTTTTGCTTTGTTCTGTTAGAAATGTAATATAATTGACTGGTTGTCCTGACACGACAAATAAATACAGGAAATTTTGCAGTTCTGTAAGTTCTTTTGCCTTTTGTGTTGAGGAGTGCAGGTACCTCACCAAACTGCATCTCCCAGGATTCCATAGTATTGGGCCATGATAGGTGTTCCAATGGGCCATCTAGTGTCAAACTGCATTAACAATGTACGTAGATGTGCCCTTTCGCATGGGAAGGAGCACAAAGCATTGGGGCCATGAGCTTCTGGCCAATCCTTCCCTTCTTTTACCTGCCTGTTCTGCATAAAGCCAGAAGATGCAAGGATTGGGGTACTTCAGGGGTCCCCCCAAGGGTCCCCCACCTTCCTCCTCGTGTTGCTGCCGCAGGAGCTCGCTGTGCGGGACACCAGTTTCCTCAAAGATCTGCAAGCTCCTGTCAGAAAGAGAGAGACCCGGAGATGTTTTCGAGGCAAGAAGGGGATCTAAAATGCCCAACTCTTCCCATATTTTTATACACACATACATAATTTGGTTACGCAGATTCATTATAACAGTTATAATTACCACTTTTTTCTATATACTGGTACACTCGTATCTGGTTCCTGCTTTCCTATCGTTTACATTTATATCCTTGGTTGTGTAGTTTTCTGGGCTGTATGGCCATGTTCCAGAAGCATTTTCTTCTGATGTTTTGCCTGCATCTATACCAAGCATCCTCAGAGGTTGTGAGGTCTGTTGGAAACTAGGAAAATTGGGTTTATACGTATGTGGAATGTCCAGGGTAGGAGAAAGAACTCTTGCCTGTTGGAGGTAGGTGCGAATGTTTCAACTGGCCACCTTATTAGTATTTAATGGCCTAGCATTTTCAAGATCTGGCTTCTTTCTGCCTGGGGGAATCATTTGTTGGTAGTTGATTAGCTGGCCATGATTATTTCTTGTCTAGAATTCCCATTTTTTTGCTAGGTCATTAAATGCAGGAGCTTGTCAGTGCAAGTGGACACTCCAGCGATATACACATGCACATATTTTCAGTGTTATTTTGTGTGTGCGTGTGTGTGTGTGTTTGTGTGTGTATATATTTCAATGAGATGGAGGAAATAACAGGAAAAAACTCTTCCTACATATGACACCAGTCAGATTCTGGCCAAAGCTTCGTCACGATTCCAGAAATTAATTAATGTGCATTTTGGGCTGAGAAAGAATTCTATTTCATGGTGGGCCCTTTTCGTGAATAAGTCCGCCTCCTTTCTTATTGCAACCCCCTGGTTGAAATGGCTGGGGTGCTGCAGGGTGCATCTACTTTGCTGAATTAATGCGGTATGAAGCCCCTTTAGCTTCCTGGGAGTTGCAAGTTTGGTGGAGGGCTGGCAGAGAAGGCATAATAATAATAGTAATAATAATAATAATAATACATTATTTGTATTCTGCCCTATCTCTCCAAGGGGACTCAGGCCTTGCAAAACTACAACTCTCGGGATTCCAGAGCACTGAGCCATGACAATTCAAGTGGTGTCAAACGGCCTTGATTTTACGTGGCTCAAAGTGATAGATTTCCAGGAATGTCAGTCTGATGGGGACCCAGCACTCTTTGGCAGAGAAGGCTGAAGGTCTTGTAAAAATACAACTCCCCTAGTCGCAGTAGTGTCAAATTCCATTCATGTTGCAGTATAGAGGCACTCCTCCAGGATCTCAGCTCCTCTGTCTACGTCAGGTCAACATTCAGTCCCTTTGGGGTTGCCGTTCTTTCCACCTCTGGTTGCTCAAGCCTCCTGAGGTAACGATGGATGGCAATGGTTCAGCCCCATCCTGGTAGCTCACTCCCAACCTCTTTCCTGACTTTTGGGGCAGGGCCAGGAACGGCAGGGCAAGACCGGGCTTGATCCGGAACCGTTTCCCACCAAAAGGAAGGCGGCAGGTGGCTCGGCCGGTTGAACAGCTCTGGCTTGAAGGAACCAGCCTGAAGGTCTGCTTCTCCAAGAGGCTTGGCCTAAGAGCCATGGATCAGCAGCTCTTGCATGGAGTGTTGAGTATCTATCTATCTATCTATCTATCTATCTATCTATCTATCTATCTACCTATCTATCTATCTATCTATCTATCTATCTATCTATCTATCTATCTAATCTAATAAATGTCAAAATATGTATGTACAAGTAGAATCCTAGGGTTGGAAGGAACCCCAAGGGCCATCAAGTCCAACCCCCTTCTGCCCTGCAGGAAAAGCACAATCAAAGCCCTCCTGGCAGATGGCCATCCAGTCTCTGTTTTAAAGCCTCCATAGAAATGCTGTAGGAACCTCCCCCCCCCCCCCCCCCCCCCCCCGGCAATAGTATTAGCAGATGCTGGATAAATGTAGTTTCTGGTTGCTTGAGGAGCCCCCGGTTGCGCAGTGGGTTAAACCCCTGTGCTGGCAGAACTGAAGACCGACAGGTCGCAGGTTCGAATCCGGGGAGTGGCGGATGAGCTCCCTCTATCAGCTCCAGCTCCTCATACGGGGACATGAGAGAAGCCTCCCACAAGGATGATAAAAACATCAAATCATCCTGGCATGCCCTGTGCAACGTCCTTGCAGACGGCCAATTCCCTCACATCAGAAGTGACTTGCAGTTTCTCAAGTCTCTCCTGACACGACAAAAAAAATGTTTTAAAAAGTCTATTTCATACCATCAACTCTATACTGACTTAGCATTAATACTGTAATACAGAAATGTAACGCAACGCCAAAGATGATGATGATCCCCCCCCCCCCCAACAGGTTTAGGATGAGTCTGGATGGCCCTTATGGTCTCCCCCAACTCTAGGATTCTATAAATGTTTTGGAAGCTGGGCTCGCAACTTTCTGTTCATAGAATAATAAACGTTGGAAGAGACCACATGGACCATCTAGTCTGACCCCATGATGACATGCAGAAAAGCACAATCAAAGCAGCCCCCACAGATGGCCACCCAGCCTCTACTTAAAAGCCTCCAAGGAAAGAGCTTCCACCGGATGCCAAGGCAGAGAGTTCCACTGTTGAACAGCTCTTATTATGATCAGGAAGTTTTTTTCCTGATGTTCAGGTGGAATCTCCTTTCCTGCCATTTGAACCCATGTCTCCATTGATTCCTAGTCTCCAGGGCAGCAGAAAGGAAGCCTGCCTCCTCTTCTTTAGGACATACTGAAAGCCTACCTCACTGTTTATCCTTTTGGGTTTCCCTCAATCATATATTTTATTCCTGCCTTATCCTGCTCATTTTGTTTTGATTTTATATTGTGTTAATTTGCTTTATTTATGTTCCACCGGAGTGGAAATCATCTATCGGACAGATGGCAAGCCGTTTAACCTCAGCAGACTGAAAGCCATAACCAAGGTTACAACAACATCTGTTATAGAACTCCAGTATGCTGATGACAATGTCATCTGTGTGCATTCAGAAGATCTACAAGCCACTCTAAACACCTTTGCAGAAGCATACGAGAAGCTCAGCCTGTCATTGAACATCGAGAAAACCAAAGTGCTGTTCCAGCAGTCACCAGCCAATCCCTCTCCAATGCCAGAAATACAGCTTAATGGTGTAACATTAGAAAATGTTGACCATTTCCGCTACCTTGGCAGCCACCTCTCCACCAAAGTCAACATCGACACGAAATACAACACCGCCTGAGCTCTGCGAGTGCAGCATTTTCCCGAATGAAGCAGAGAGTGTTTGAGGACCGGAACATCCGTAGGGATACCAAGGTGCTTGTTTATAAAGCTATTGTCCTCCCAACCCTGCTATATGCCTGCGAGACGTGGACTGTCTACAGACGTCACATGCAACTCCTGGAACAATTCCATCAGCGCTGCCTCCGGAAAATCCTGCAAATCTCTTGGGAAGACAAGCGGACAAACGTCAGCGTGCTGGAAGAAGCAAAGACCACCAGCATTGAAGCGATGGTCCTCCGCCATCAACTCCGCTGGACCGGCCACGTTGTCCGGATGCCCGACCACCGTCTCCCAAAGCAGTTGCTCTACTCTGAACTCAAGAACGGAAACCGGAATGTTGGTGGACAGGAAAAGAGATTTAAAGATGGGCTCAAAGCCAACCTTAAAAACTCTGGCATAGACACTGAGAACTGGGAAGCCCTGGCCCTTGAGCGCTCCAGCTGGAGGTCAGCTGTGACCAGCAGTGCTGCAGAATTTGAAGAGGCATGAATGGAGGGTGAAAGAGAGAAACGTGCCAAGAGGAAGGCGTGTCAAGCCAACCCCGACCGAGACCGCCTTCCACCTGGAAACCAATGCCCTCACTTGTGGGAGAAGATGAAGATCAAGATCCACAGCCACCTATGGATCCACGAGAATATTGATCCTGGAAGACTATCCTACTTGTCCAACGAGGGATCGCCTAAGTAAAAGTAAGTCTTACAATCAGGAAGTTCTTCCTGATGTTCAGGTGGAATCTCCTTTGCTGCCATTTGAACCCATGTCTCCATTGAGTCTTAGTCTCCAGGGCAGCAGAAAGGAAGCCTGCCTCCTCTTCTTTAGGACATACTGAAAGCCTACCTCACTGTTTATCCTTTTTGGTTTCCCTCAATCACATACTTTATTCCTACCTCATCCTGCCCATTTTGTTTCGATTTTATATTGTGTTAATTTGCTTTATTTATGTTATTTTTGGTACTGTACGTATTTTATTCTGACGCAATTTTTATTGTCTGCAGACTGTATTTTATTTTTTGCTGCCTCATGTTAGCCACCCCGAGTCCCCTTTGGAGAGATGGTGGCGGGGTATAAATAACGTTTATTATTATTATTAGTATTTAAATATGGCTGTCATAGTGTCTCCTTTCGTCCTTCTCTTCTGAATCTAAACACACCCAGCTCTTTAAGCTGCTCCTAAGAGGGATTATTCATGGTCTGCACACCTTTAACCCCTTTAGTGGCTCTCTTCCTCTGGACCCCTTTCAGCTTAAAGTCAAGATCCCTCTGAAATAGTGCGGCCCAGAACTGGACACAGAGCTATTATTATAGGTGAGAAGGTCTGACCAAAGCAGAAGAACAGAGGGGCACCAGTACTTCCCTCGATCTGGACACTATACTCCTTTGGATGCAGCCCAAAATCCCATTGGCTTATTTTAGCTGCTGCATCACAGTGTTGGCTCATGTTTAGCACATTGTCTACAAAGACTCCAAGATCTTTTTCACATGCAACTCTGTTGTGGAGCCAGGTATCTCCCATCCTGTATCTGTGTTTGTATGTATGCTACCTATTATGATTTACATTCTACTGCTACAATATGTCAATTCTGTATTGGTGTTTGATGTAAGTTTTTAAAACCTTTTTGTGTTTTTATCTATGTAATTTCTTGTACATATTTTATGTTCATATGCTTTTGACTGTGTTGTACCCTACCTCAAGCCATCAGGATAGGCAGGTAATAAATAAATTATTATTATTATTATTATTATTATTATTATTATTGTTATTGTTGTTGTTGTTATATTTTCCAATATGGCTCCTACATCCAGAGAGCACTGTGAACCCCACCAGTGACAGATCTGAAACAAACTTGGCACACAGACGTGTTATGACCAACTGGAAATACTGGTGAAGGTTTTTGGAGTGGGGTGACCCCAGGATGATGGGGTTTGTAGTACACCCACAGCCAGAGAGTATTGTGAACCTCACCAATGCTGGATCTGGACCAAACTTGGGGCACAGACACATCATGACCAAATTAGTGGCACACTTTCAGGGCCTTGACCCAGGATGATGGGAGTTGTAATTCACCACACAACTTTATCCATTTTATAATGGGAACATTCATAAAATCCAAAAACAAACAACAGCCTATGGCTGACAATGGGGTTTCTCCTGGGAAAAAGGGCTTTCAATAATGAACTGTACTTGTAATGGCTTGCATTTAATAATTAATAATTATTTGCATTTGTTATTGCTGTATTCAAATTGGGACCGTTTCAAATTGTGTTGAGTCCTCTTTATTGTCTGAAACATGCAAAAGTCAAAATGCAGTTAATGAAGTAGTTTATTCATGAATTATGGGATTTATGAACTAGTTATTATTACTAAATGTAAATGTGTGATTATACAATGTATCTTAAAGGGAGTAGAAACCATTCGACAGAGAGTGAGAGGTCTGCTGATTGTGCTGGATGTCTGTTAGTTATTCTTGTTTTAGCATGTATGTTTTGTGTGCATTGCTTTGTTTTGCTGTGTTATTGTCATTTGTAGTAGTATTACAGTAGAGTCTCACTTATCCAACCTTCTGTATTATCCAATGCAATCTGCCTCCCACCCAGATCCACAGCTGTTTTAATACATTGCAATGTTTTGGTGCTAAATTGTCCTTGCAGACGGCCAATTTCCATCTTGTCTCCTGCCTATATCATCTGTTGGAAGCAACCCCCCCCCCCCCCCGGCACCAACTGCTTCTCTGGCCAGAGTGAAGAGAGAGGGGGCTACAGTTGAAGACAGTTCCATCTTATCTCTTATGTTTTACTAATAAATATAATATAATATATTGCATATACATATAATATTTATAATATAATGTAATACAATATAATACTATTAATAATAATACAATACTATAATTATATATTTTATATTACATGTAATATTACTAATAATATTACAAAATAATGGTGTAGTACAATATAGCAATATATAATACTGATATTTTACTATGCTAATAATTTAATATATTGTATGCATATATATCTTGTAAGCCGCTCTGAGTCCCCTTCGGGGTGAGAAGGGCGGCATATAAATTTCGTAAATAATAATAATGTATTGTCGAAGGCTTTCATGGTCGGAATCACTGGGTTGTTGTAGGTTTTTTTGGGCTATATGGCCATGTTCTAGAGGCATTCTCTCCTGACTTTTCGCCTGCATCTATGGCAAGCATCCTCAGAGGTAATGTTTTCCTAGTTTCAACAGACCTCACTACCTCTGAGGATGCTTGCCAAAGTGCAGGCGAAACGTCAGGAGAGAATGCCTCTAGACCATGGCCATACAGCCCGAAAAAAACCTAAAACAACCAATTGAATAGCATTGTGTAGCCATGAAGCTACAAAGTCAATCAGTGATGGTACTACATAACGCTACCATGTAGTGAACTGCTTTTTCTGTCAATTTGTTGTAAAACATGACGTTCTGGTGCTTAATTTCTAAAATCATAACATAAATTGACTTTTAATAGGCTTTTCCTTAATCTCTCCTTATTATCCAACATTTTCGCTTATCTGACGTTCTGCGGGTCCATTTATGTTGGATAAGCGAGACTCTACTGTAATTTGAATGTTGATAGGGAAGATATTTTAAAAGTACAACTTTATAACTCCTTTGCTCATTTTATTACAGTTATGTTATGTTTTCCTTTAAAAACCATTTTTAAAAAGTGAAAGAAGTAAGAGTTGGGGGTCCCAGGCAGCCCACCTTGGCAAGCAAGAGGCCCTTCTCCCAAAGAAGGCATGGGTTTGGATGGAGCAGATATAACCCAATTTATGTGACATTATTTCTGTTCCTGGGTTATAAATGTCATTTCCTAATTGGTTCTATCATCAAAACATGGAGAAAGTTTATTAAACTACAAAAATTTTGTTTGCGCGGGACATCCTGTAGCACATAAAAGTTTTTCAATGAATTGCGCATAGAGTCTCAACCCATTCATCCTAGTTTGTGGCAGCCACAAAAACAAAGTTTCTGGAGTATAATAACTATTTTCAAAGTAAGGACTGCACAATTAAACAGGAAATAACACTTTCAAACGAGGAACAGGAAAAAAAATCAAATTTTGTTACATACTGTTATAGCCAGATCTGCTCCTTGCAGATTGTGTGTGTTTGTGTCTCAGGAGCGACATGAGAAACTGCAAGTCACTTCTGGTGTGAGAGAATTGGCCGTCTGCAAGGACGTTGCCCAGGGGATGCCCGGATGTTCTGATAATTTACCATCCTTGTGGGAGGCTTTTCCCATGTCCCCACATGGGGAGCTGGAGCTGACAGAGGGAGCTCATTTGCACTCTCCCCAGATTCGAACCTCCAACCTGATGGTCTTCAGTCCTGCAAGCACAAAGGTTGAACCCATTGTGCCACTGGGGGCTCTCCTTGTAGATGGGCCATTTCACCCTCCCAGAATCAATGATCTGACTATAATGCCGGCTTAATCCTTTCCATTGATACAGACCTGGCCACTTTGCGTTTGTCGTGTGGGTGCAGCTTGGAGGCCATTTCGGGGTCCACTTGACTCAGGCGCTGATGGAGCTCCTGGCCATCTAGTTTCTCCAGCTCTGTTTTCCGGTCTACCACAGATCCAGGGCTCTTCTCCTACAAACAGGCATTCACTCATTTGGAAGCCATATTCCTGCCCTCACTGCACAGTTAGAGCAGTCAGAAATCGCACAATGATAGTACTACGATCCCTCCTTCATTCTGTTGCATCCTGGGACTAGTTAAGTTTATGAGGGATATTTGGCATTCTCAGCCAATGAGTGATTGATCCTCACCAAAATTAAAATCCCACAATTACACAAAGGCAGCTAAATTGGCATCAAAGTGCTATATTGGCGCAATATGACTGGACGCTGTCGTTGGAAATAGCAACCTTCTACAAGCCTCCTATACTAGTTACTTTTTAAGTATATAATTCAGATTGCTTACTATATTGTATGTATGTTTTGATATGCAGTTTCCCCTTAACTCTATGTTGTTTGATGTTGTGGGAGGGACTACAGACCATATAACCAAATCTGGGACTATTCAGACTGAGACTCCATTTTAGAAGTTGTGTTCAGAGAGATAACCAGGTATATCAGTCTAACATCTGAGAAATCTAATTTGACTTGCAGGAATACTAGTTGATATTTACCACTAAGGAGAAGATTCACTCAAATGAGTATTGAACTCTTCTCAGGAAGATCATCTATGTAAATAAAAATGTAATGTTCGTTTGTGGGATTAACATAACTAAAAAACCAATGGATGAATTGACATCAAATTTGGACACAAGACACCTATCAGGCCAACGAGTGACCATCACTCATAAAGACATTGAAAAAAACAACAGAAGAGACTTAAAAACCAAAACCCCAAAAATACATTACAATGCATGCGCAAAACCACCTATATATACACAAACACACATATACACAAATATATATACACATACAAAACACATATACACAGACTGGGCCACAGCAACGCATGGCAGGGGACAGCTAGTATTTTATAAAAGGGTTATAATTAATCCAAATAGTATGAATACCAATTAGTGTTGTGTTTTATTTATTTATTTATTTATTTAAAACAATTATATTCCGCCCTTCTCTCCCTGCAGGAGCACTATATATGTGTGTGTGTGTGTGTGTGTGTGTGTGTGTGTGTGTGTGTGTATGTATGTGTGTATGTGTATATATATATATATATATATATATGGCAAACATTCAGTGCCAGGTCATAAAACCATAAATATATACTAACATTAAAATCATTTATATCCACTTTAAAATCAGTTGCTTAAAAACCATTCTATTATTGCCTCATTTCATCTCATGCTGAACCTCCCCTCGAGCTGCAAAGAGAGGTGAATAATAAATCTATTATTCATATTCATATTATTATTTGATACACAACAAGATTAGTACAAAGAAAAACAAGATCACGATGCTGAAAAACACAACAGAAGAGACTTCCCAAATGTTTAGAACTATGTATTGTCGAAGGCTTTCATGGCCGGAATCACTGGGTTGTTGTAGGTTTTTTTCGGGCCATATGGCCATGGTCTAGAGGCATTCTCTCCTGACGTTTCGCCTGCATCTATGGCAAGCATCCTCAGAGGTAGTGAAGATGCTTGCCATAGATGCAGGCGAAACGTCAGGAGAGAATGCCTCTAGACCAGTGGTTCTCAACCTTCCTAATGTGGTGACCCCTTTATACATTTCCTCATGTTGTGGTGACCCCCAACCATAAAATTATTTTCATTGTTACTTCATAACTGGAATTTTGCTCCTGTTATGAATTGTAATGTCAATATCTGCTATGCAGGTTGTATTTTCATTCATTGAACCAAATTTGGCACAAATGCCTGATAGGCCCAAATTTGAATTCTGGTGCGGTTTGGTGGGGGGGGGGGAGACTTTATCATTTGGGAGTTGTAGTTGATGGGATTTATAGTTCACCTACAATCAAAGAGCATTCTGAACTCCACCAATGATGGAATTGAACCAAACTTGGCACACAGAACTCCCATGACCAAGAAAATCTGTTTATTTTATTGACCTTGAGTTTTGGAGTTATAGTTCACCTATATCCAGAGAGCACTGTGGACTCAAACAATGATCAATCTGGACCAAACTTGGCATGAATGCTCAATATGGCCAAAGAATGGTGGAGTTTGGTGAAAATAGACCACATTTGGGAACTATAGTTGCTAGGATTTACAGTTCACCTGTAATCAAAGGGCATTCTGAACCCCACCAATGATAGAATTGAGCCAAACTTACCTAAAAGGAGCCCCATGGTCAGCAGATGGTCTTTGGTGACCCGTCTGACACCCCTCTTGCAAACTGCTCAGGGGTCCCAACGATAGCGAAATTGCGAGGCGGGCAAGGGGACTTTGGGAGAAGTCAGGCCTCGCGCCGAGATCCCTTCGCCCGCATCGTGTCCTCACCGAATGGCAAAATCGCGAGGTGGGTGAGGGGTCTTCGGAGCAAGGCCTGACTTCGCCCAAAGGCCCCTCCCCCGCCTCGCGACCTCGCCAAATGGCAAGATTCCGAGGTGGGTGAGGGGCCTTTGGGTGAAGTCAGGCTTCGCGCGAAAGACCCCTCCCCGCCTCGCGATCTTACCAAATGGCGAAAGCGCGAGGCGGGCGAGGGGTCTTCGGAGCAAGGCCTGACTTCGCCCAAAGGCCCCTCCCCCGCCTCGCGACCTCGCCAAATGGCAAAATCATGAGGCAGGCGAGGGGCCTTTGGGCAAAGTCAGGCCTTGCACCAAAGACCCCTCCCCCGCCAAATGGCGAAATCACGAGGCAGGCGAGGGGCCTTTGGGCGAAGTCAGGCCTCGCGCCGAAGACCCCTCCATGCCTCGCAAGCTCGCCAAATGGCGAAAGAGCGAGGCAGGAGAGGGGGCTATGTGCGAGGCCTTGGGGCGGGGCCAATGGAGGCAGCCTCACGACCCCTCCGAAATGGCCAGGCGACCCCCCTGGGGGTCGCGACCCCCAGGTTGAGAACCGCTGCTCTAGACCATGGACATATGGCCCAAAAAACCCTACAACAACCCAGTTTAGAACTATGTGATGTATTGGCAAATAATGCGTGCAGATCTGAGTAGGGTGGCCTTCTGTAGCTGACAGATGGTCATTTTGTCAATGCCAATTGTTTTTAAGTACATACCAAGGTCTTTAGGCACTGCACCCAGTGTGCCGAACACAACTGGGACCACCTTTTCTGGCTTGTGCCAGAGTTATTATTGTTATTATTATTGTTATTATTATTGTTATTATTATTATTATATTTCTTCAATTCTAAGACAACTTTCCCCTCTATATAAACATATCTAAAAATGGGGTTCACCTTAGAATTGCAGATGTATCTTATTACTTTTATTGGTGGTGATGGTACTGAAATTAGGATGCCTCTGACAATGGTGGGTGTCTTAAAGTTGAAGAGTGAAGTTATTATTATTCTACTGACACAAAAACACATTATGTCACAGCCAATGAGATCTAGATGCTGGATTTTGAATCACAAGATTACAAGTCGAACACTTCCCAAGCGTCTAGGACTGTGTGATGTATTTTCGAATGATGCGCACAGATCCAAGTAAGGTGGCCTTTTGCAGTTGACAGATTGTGACTTTGTCCATGTTTATTGTTTCCATATGCCGGCTGAGACCTTTTGGCATGGCACCCAGTGTGCCGATGACCACTGGGACCACCTGTACTGGTTTATGCCAGAGCCTTTGCAGTTCGATTTTGAGGTCTTGGTAACGGCTGAGTTTTTCCTGTTGTTTTTCCTCAATGCAACTGTCACCCAGTATGGTGTTATTGTTATTATTATTCATTAATTAATTAATATTATTAATTAATAATCAATTATTATTATTATTACTATTATTATCATCGTCATTATCATCACCTCCTATGGCAGCAGGTGGTACCAACCCCCAAAGGCCCTTTTTACCTCTGTGTCGATGAGGACCTTCCAAAGCAAAGACTCAATGTAATAATTGGTCCCGCCAACCACAATTGGGATCTTCCGAGCGGCAAAGATGTCTTCGATGTGGACAATTAAGGAACTTTAGAAAACACGCATGGCCATCTGTTGGGAGGGCTTGAATTGTGCTTTTCCTGCATGACAGAAGGAGGTGGACTAGATGGCTCTACAATTCAGCTGCATCTGGCTCAATCCTGCCAATTCCGACTGGTAGCTGCAGCCACTCTGCAGGATCCTTTTCATGGCTGTGTGCCACAGACTTGGATTACACACTGGGGAAGGATTTTTTTTAACATAATTCCTGTTGAGTTTGCTTTATCAGCTGTTTTAGACTTAAATAAGCCTGCTGATTTCAAAACTGCAGTTAGTTTTCTTCTATCACGTCAAGTTTTTTCTCTACAGTGTATCTCAATGCTATGTCTGCTCTAGGCTACATCCTCGAGGGAAGGATTAGTGCTCTCCTCCTATTGGCTGAGAACAAACCTCCCTCGAGTGGAGATCACACTTGTCTAGGCTATCTGGCCAGGGTGGTCCATGCCTTAGTCACCTCCAGATTGGACTACTGTAATGCAGTCATGCCGGCCACATGACCTTGGAGGTGTCTACGGACAACGCTGGCTCTTCGGCTTAGAAATGGAGATGAGCACCACACCCCAGAGTCAGACATGACTGGACTTAATGTCAGGGGACTACCTTTACCTTTACCTTTTAATGCACTCTACGTGGGGCTGCCCTTGAAAACAGCCCAGAAATTTCAATTGGTCCAATGGGCGGCGGCCAGGTTGTTAACTGGTGCTCCTTACAGGAAGTGGTCAACCCTCCTGTTTAAGGAGCTCCACTGACTGCCATTCATTTTCTGGTCTCAATTCAAGGTGCAGGTGCTTACCTACAAAGCCCTAAATGGTTTGGGACCCGCCTACCTGCGTGACCGCATCTCTGTGTATGAACCCACACAATCTCTTCGTTCATCTGGAGAGTCCCTACTCACGATCCCACCTGCATCGCAAGCGCGATTGGTGGGGATGAGGGATAGGGCTTTCTCGGTGGTGGCCCCTTGACTCTGGAACTCTCTCCCTAAGGACATCAGGCAAGCCCCATCGCATGGCAATTTTTAGGAGGAGCTTGAAAACGTGGTTGTTCCAGTGAGCCTTCCCAGAATAAGGAAACTCCACGCATGTTGTCCACAACGCACTTTATCAGAGATTCAGGATATCTGCAAACCCATCCCTCTCCAAACACCTACCCCTTTCTCCTGGTCATGCCCAGCACTTTTTAATTTTAATTATTACATTTGGCCCTGCCATAGTTTTCAATTGCGTCATTTTGTGTTATTAATGTTATTGCTTTGCTTTGTTTTTGATTTATTTTGCTGTATTGTTGTTGTTTTATTGTTGTATTTGGGCTCGGCCTCTTGTAAGCCGCACCGAGTCCTTCGGGAGATGGTAGCGGGGTACAAATAAAGGATTATTATTATTATTATTATTATTATTATTATTATTCAGTGAGTCAGTATGATGATTGGTTGTGTGCTGCTCTATATAGTGAATTATATTCCAAAGTGTAATCTGAGTTCTTGTCTGTATACAAGGAGTTAGCAGAAATTATTTTTTTTTATTTACATACATACTTATTAAGGACCCCCCAGTGGCACAGTGGGTTAAACTGCTGAGCTGCTGAACTTGCAGTTCGAATCGGAGGAGCCGGATGAACTCCCGCTATTAGTCCCAGCTTCTACCAACCTAGCACTTCAAAAACATGCAAATATGAGTAGATCAATAGCAGGAAGGTAATGGCACTCCATGCAGTCATGCCAGTCACATGACCTTGGAGGCATCTATGGACAATGCTGGCTCTTCGGCTTAGGAATGAAGATGAGCATCACTCCTAAGAGTCAGACATGACTAGACTTAATATACTTATCTACCTTTACTCATTTACCTTTACGTACTTATTTCTTTTCCTTCAGATCATGCCTGCCTCTGCTATTTCTCGCCGTGAGTGCCTAAACAACCCTGGTTTGTTTTGTTATATCTGTGGCAGTTTCACCATTCCCACCCAGTCAAAGAACAAACATAAGTGCATTTGTCAGGTACGCCTATTTTGCATATTTTAAAGTAAAGGTTGGTGATCAAAATAAGTCTTGGGCCCCTCACAAGGCATGCAAGCAGCGTGTCGAGAGTTGGCAGATGAGGATGAAGGGAACACATGATAAATTGCCAGAGATTATTTAAGTCACTGTCACTTTTGTATAGTGAAAATGTCAAGATATAACAAGCAAAATAAATGAAAAATAGAGTACTCTAGTCTACCATCAGTTATACTCCCAATGCTTCATTCAGCTGAAATCCCAGTGTCAATTTTCATTGAACTACCCTCTTTCAAAAAACAGGAGTATGGTTTTTTTATTTATCTTATCAGGAGCAGGCAGACATTTGTATTACATTTTTAACAAAACAAATAAACAGACAAAACACAAAGTTTGAAAGCTTGGTAGTTGATGAACTGTCATTTGACCAGTATCTGGCCACTTGGAGTGCCTCTGGTGTTGCCACAAGAAGGTCCTCCATTGTGCATGTGGCAGGGCTCAGGTTGCATCGCAGCAGGTGGTCTGTGGTTTGCTCTTCTCCACACTCGCATGTCGTGGATTCCACTTTGTGGCCCTATTTCTTAAGATTGGCTCTGCATCTCGTGGTGCCAGAGCACAGTCTGTTCAGCGCCTTCCAAGTCACCCAGTCTTCTGTGTGCCCAGGAGGGAGTTTCTCATTTGGTATCAGCCATGGGTTGAGGTTCTGGGTTTGAGCCTGCCACTTTTGGACTCTCGCTTGCTGAGGTGTTCCAGCGAGTGTCTCTGTAGATCTTAGAAACCTATTTCTTGATTTAAGTTGCTGACGTGCTGGCTTATACCCAAACAGAGGATGATCTGGAGATGTCACTGCCTTGGTCCTTTCACTATTGGCTGCTACTTTCCGGCGGATGTCAATTGGTGCAATACCGGCTAAACAGTGTAGTTTCTCCAGTGGTGTAGGGCGCAGACACCCCGTGATAATGCGGCATGTCTCATTAAGAGCCACATCTACCGTTTTAGCATGGTGAGATGTGTTCCACACTGGGCATGCGTACTCAGCAGCAGAGAAGCATAGCGCAAGAGCAGATGTCTTCACTGTGTTTGGATGTTATCCCCAGGTTGTGCCAGTCAGCTTTCGTATGATATTGTTGCTAACACCCACCTTTTGCTTGATATTCAGGCAGTGCTTCTTGTATGTCAGAGCACGGTCCTGAGTGACTCCCAGGTATTTGGGTACGCTGCAATGCTCCAGTGGGATTCCTTCCCAGGTAATCCTCAGAGCTCGGGATGCTTCTCTGTTCTTAAGGTGAAAGGCACATGTCTGTGTTTTAGATGGATTAGGGATCAGCTGGTTTTCCCTGAAATAGGCAGTAAGAGCACCTAGAGCTTCGGAGAGCTTCTGTTCAACCATCTCAAAGCTCCCTGATTGAGCGGTAATGACATGATCATCAGCATAGATGAAGCTCTCTGTCCCTTCTGGCAGTGGCTGGTCATTTGTGTAAATGTTGACCATGGATGGAGCAAGCACGCTCGCCTGAGGCAGGCCATTCTTCTGTTTCCGCCATCTGCTTCTTTGGCCCTGAAACTCAACAAAAAAGCTCCTGTTTTGTAGCAGGTTTCCTATGAGGCGGGTGAGGTGGTAGTCCTTTGTGATATTATACATTTTTCTCAGGAGGAGACGGTGGTTTACAGTATCATAAGCCGCTGACAGGTCTATGAAGACAACTCCTGTGATCTGCTGCCTTTCAAAACCATCTTCTATGTGCTGAGTCAGGTTCAGCACTTGCGATGTGCAGCTTTTGCCTTTCCTGAAGCCAGCTTGCTGTGGAATCAGACATGGGTCTATTTTTTTCCATAATTCTATGCAAAGTAAGTATCTCCAGAACTTTGTAGAGTATGGTGAAGAAATAAATGATGGCAACAATGAAGATATTGAATCTGAAGATGACTCAATTCAAAAGGGATTTGATCAGCATTAACTGAATAATTTGGGACTATGCAAAAAGGCATATGATGGCTGACTATTGTTGGGAGCATCGGGTGAGACTGTCCATAGATGAAACATTCCAGGAAAAGCTATAAGCTTATTTTTTCCCTTTAATATGTCTGTTTGGTAGCAGAACTTGAGTACTTGTACACAGTTTGACTTACAGTAACAATATATAGCCTTGATGTGAATAAAATAAACTGTAAAAGGTAAAGGTTTTCCCCTGACATTAAGTCCAGTCGTGTCCGACTCTGGGGTGTGGTGCTCATCTCCATTTCTAAGCCACTTTGAGTCCCCCTAGGGGTGAGAAAAGCGGTATAGAAATACTGTAAATAAATAAATAAGCCGAAGAGCCAGTGTTGTCCATAGACATCTCCAAGGTCATGTGGCCAGCATGACTGCATGGAACGCCATTTTGCATGTTTTCGAACTGCTAGGTTGGCAGAAGCTGGGGCTGACAGCGGAAGCTCACACTGCTCCCCGGAATCGAACCTGTGACCTTTCAGCCAACAAGCTCAGCAGCTCAGTGCTCTAACCCACTGTGCCACCGGTGGCTCCCAAAAATAAAGTGTATACTCTGGTAATTTTTGTCAAGAATATTAAAAATTAACTTGGTATTTTTAATTACAAAAATGTGAGTCAAGCACTGAAAGGGTTGAATGGATGAAATGACTCAGCAAAAGCTGCAGTTCTATATATGCCGGTGTGCCTGTAGCTTAGTAGCCGTCTATCTGAGGTAAACCTCAGTGGGAGAAAAGTCTGTCTGTGAGAAGGCCTCACAGTGTGAGGTAGGCCTTTGTCTGTGAGAGAGGCCTCTGTGTGAGGTAGCCCTTAGTCTATGAGAAGGCTGAGTGTGAGGAGGCCTCATGTGTGAAGCTCCAGTGTAAAGGTTTGAACTTTATTTGTGTTATGGAAATCTTGCTCTTGTAAATAGTGCAACCATATTATTTTGCTATAAAGAAAAGCCTCCTATGGAATAGATAACATTGCTCTGTGTGTTTTTGTTCTTTTAATCACTCTGGGTACTGGTGCTGGGTCATGCTGCTGCTAATAAGTTACTCTGCTGTATATTTATGAGGAGGGTCTTTCATTAATAAGCTCACTCGCCCAACAATTTCTCTTTATTATCCTTTGTATGTACATTTTGTATGGTTTTGCGAATAAAGGAAAGGTATCCTGTCCCTTTAAAAAGTTGACGTGATAGAAAGAAAATTGTGTGATTTTTGGATTCAGAAGCCAAAAGTTAGTCAAAAGCAAGTCTCATATCTATCTCAATGAAAATTGTGTTTATTTCCCTACCTGCTTTTGATTGTAACTTTGACATCATGTGCTTGCTCAGAAAGGAAAGCTATGCAAACACCCCAAAGGGAAGGATATGATGGCGGCGGCCTTGTTCCTGAAGTCCACAATGGTGTAGTTGATGACCAAGGGGTCCACGAAGCTGAGCATGTGGTGTCTGCAGAGCTGTTGCTCCTGAGGAGAGGCTTTGTTGGTGATGATGTCCAAGCCCTTGTACACCTAAGGAAATAACACATACATATATATATGTGTGTGTGTGTGTGTGCGTATATACTAGAGTATAAGCCAACCCAAATATAAGCTGAGGTAACTAATAATAAAGTGTAAAATAATAAATGTAATAATAATAATGATGATGATGATGATAATAATAATAAAATAATAAATCTAACAAAAATAAAAGAGTAAAATACTGTAAATGTAATAATACCAATAATAATAGAGTATAATAAATGCAATAACAATAATAAATGGAGAAAAATAATAAATATTATAAAATAAAATAATAATAATACAGTAATAATAATAAAGAAATGATTCTTTCTTTTATCTAAGAGAATACCCTATATACTCGAGTATAAACCGACCGGAATATAAGATGAGGCACCTAATTTTACCACAAAAAAACTGGGAAAACGTATTGACTCGAGTATAAGCTGAGGATGTGAAATGCAGCAACTACTGATAAATTTCAAATTAAAATAGATACCAACAAAACTACATTAATTGAGGCATCAGTAGTTTAAATGTTTTTGAATATTCACAGAAAACTGTAATTTAAGATAAGACTGTCCAACTCTGATTAAACCATTATTCTAACCTTCTTCAATGTCAATGTGCTTACAACAAAAATAAAGATAGTAAAATAATAAATGTAACAATAACAACAATAATAATAGAGTACAATAATAAATGTAATAAAAATAATAGAGTAAAATAATGTAAAATGTAATAACAATAATAGAATAAAATAATAAACGTAATAATAAAAATAAAGTAAAATAATAAATAGAATAAAATAATAAATGTAATAAAAATAATAATACAGTAAAAATGTAATAATAACAATAATAGCAGTAAGATAATGAAAATGTAATAATACATGTAATAATAAACAGAATAAAATAATAAATGTAATAATAATAATAACAACAGAGTAAAATAACAAATAACTTTGACCAGAGTATAAGTCATGGGGGGCTTTTTCAACCTTAAAAAAGGGCTGAAAAAAATCAGCGTATACTAGAGTATATACGGTATCTTTCTAGATATATCTAGGTCTTTCAGAATGGTCCTAGGATCAGCCTCTGCTGGAAGCTGAGCACAGAATAATCATATTTTATTATATTATTAATAATATAATTTATGTATAGCCCATCTTTCCTTGCAGCTCAAGTCTCATTGGAGGACACAGAAATTCCTAGAAAGATATCCCCTTTAGAAATCTCTGGGTCCTCCATCCGGAACGAGGAGAGGAAGTTGGACACAGAGTCATATGGAAGGAGGGAAGGAAAGAAAGAAGGAAGGCATGCAAACTGGAAGACTCCAGAAATCCTTTTCTGATGAAATCTGTGGATAATAAAAAAAAAAGAACTGCAAAAGTGGAGGATGGCTGCAATATGAACTGGCAATAATTGTCAAAACAGCATCCAGAGAAGACAACGGATCCTTGCAGGACAGTGGGAGCATCTCAAGGGACTGAGGAAGCTCTTGGGACTCCGAACAACAACATTGTCATCAACAACAACATTGTCACCAACAACATCAAGGCCAAGGATAGTTTTGTCCAGGCGGGTTTCCCGGGGGTGGAATCTTGCTTAGAGAGTTTTGGGGATGGAGGGAAATCCTCTCTGCAAGGTAGGTGCTGTTCCCTCCCTAGATGCAAGCCTAGCAATCTGTAACACCCTGGAACCCAGGCACGCTGCATGCGCCCAGAGGCACCCCTATTTTCCTTCCTTTCTTCCCTCCCTCCTCCATGGATGTCTGAAACCTGGGCACTCTGCATATGCCTAGAAGCAGTCCCTCCCTGAAAAAGAGCAGTAACAAACTGGGAACTGGGCACTCTGTATGCGCTCAGGGACACTCCTTTCTACCTTCCCTTTTTTCCTTCCTGAAAGTGGGCAACAGCACTCTGGAACCCAGGCACTCTACATGCTCAGGAGCACTCTCTCCTCCTCCTCCCTGGAGACTGGGCACTCTGCACATACCTAGGGGCCTTCCTTCCTTCTCTTGCTTCCCACACACAAGCAGCAGCACTCTGGAGTCTGGGCACTCTGCACATGCCTAGGGGCCTTCCTTCCTTCCTGCACACAAGCAGCAGCATTCAGTGGCCTGGACACTCTGCACACGCCTAGGGTCTTCTTTCCTGGATGTCTGAAGCTTGGGCACTCTGCACATGCCTTGGGGTTTTCCTTCCTTCTTTTCCTCCCTGCACACAAGCAGCAGCACTGTGGAACCTGGGCGCTCTGCATATGCCTAGGGCCTTCCTTCCTTCCCTCCTTTCTCCCTCCCTGGATGTCGGGAGCTTGGGCACTCTGCCCATGCCTTGGGGCCTCCCTTCCTCCCTTCATAGAATCATAGAATCAAAGAGTTGGAAGAGACCTCATGGGCCATCCAGTCCAACCCCATTCTGCCAAGAAGCAGGAATATTGCATTCAAATCACCCCTGACAGATGGCCATCCAGCCTCTGTTTAAAAGCTTCCAAAGAAGGAGCCTCCACCACACTCCGGGGCAGAGAGTTCCACTGCTGAATGGCTCTCACAGTCAGGAAGTTCTTCCTCATGTTCAGATGGAATCTTCTTTCTTGTAGTTTGAAGCCATTGTTTAGTGTCCTAGTCTCCAGGGAAGCAGAAAACAAGCTTGCTCCCTTCTTCCTGTGGCTTCCTCTCACATATTTTCCTCCCTACATACAAGCAGCAGCACTCTGGATCCTGGGCACTCTGCACATGCCTAGGGCCTTCCTTCCTTCCATTCTCCCTTCCTGGATGTCTGGAGCTTGGGCACTCTGCACATGCCCTGGGACCGACCCATCTTCCTTCCTTCTTTCTTTTCCTCCATGCACACAAGCAGCAGCACTCTGGATCCTGGGCACTCTGCACATGCCTAGGGCCTTCCTTCCTTCCATTCTCCCTTCCTGGATGTCTGGAGCTTGGGCACTCTGCACATGCCCTGGGACCGACCCATCTTCCTTCCTTCTTTCTTTTCCTCCCTGCACACAAGCAGCAGCACTCTGGATCCTGGGCACTCTGCACATGCCTAGGGCCTTCCTTCCTTCCATTCTCCCTTCCTGGATGTCTGGAGCTTGGGCACTCTGCACATGCCCTGGGACCGACCCATCTTCCTTCCTTCTTTCTTTTCCTCCATGCACACAAGCAGCAGCACTCTGGATCCTGGGCACTCTGCACATGCCTAGGGCCTTCCTTCCTTCCATTCTCCCTTCCTGGATGTCTGGAGCTTGGGCACTCTGCACATGCCCTGGGACCGACCTTCCTTCCTTCTTTCCTCCTTTTCCTCCCTGCACACAAGCAGCAGCACTCTGGAGCCTGGGCACTCTGCACATGCCTAGGGGCCTTCCTTCCTTCCTGCACACAAGCAGCAGCATTCAGTGGCCTGGACACTCTGCACACGCTTAGGGTCTTCTTTCCTGGATGTCTGGAGCTTGGGCACTTTGCACATGCCTAGGGGCTTTCCTCCCTCTCTCTTTCCCCTTACACACAAGCCTCAGCACTCTGGAGCCTGGGCACTCTGCACATGCCAAGTTTCCTCTTGCTTCCCTTCCTCTGGACCCCTTTTCCTGGCTCACCTGCATGGAGTCTGCACTGAGGAGCTCTCCTCCGAGGCGGAGGGCCAGCTGGAGGGCGAGGCGGCTCTTGCCGGTCCCCGTGGCCCCCAGGATCACCACCAGCGGAGGACGCAGAGAGGAAGCCGCCATGGGAAGAGGGGAGCAGGAAGAGGAGGAGTCCCGGGAAGAGGAGGCGGGGCTCCGGAAGAGAGAATCCCTCTGACGTGTGTGTGTATTTGCATATGCAAATCGGAGCGTGACGCAATCATCCCTTGCCTCTCCTTGCCCTGCCAGCAGGGAAAAGAGGGACCCTTGTGCACATTAGGAATAAGGTGAACAAGGGCTGCTCAAAGGTGGTCAGGCAATGTTTTCATCTCTGTCCTGTGTTTGTAATCAGTATTTTATACAAATACTTTTTAATATGTGTCTTTTATAGACGAAATAGTAATAATAATAATAATAATAATAATAATAATAATAATAATAAAGACTGGCACAAGCCAGTAAAGGTGGTCCCAGCGGTGATTGGCACACTGGGTGCAGTGCCTAAAGACCTTGGCCTGCACTTAAACACAATCGGCGCTGACAAAATTACCATCTGCCAGCTGCAAAAGGCCACCTTACTGGGATCTGCATGCATTATTCGCCGATACATCACACAGTCCTAGACACTTGGGAAGTGTGAGTGTCCGATGTGTGATCCTACAAAACCCTATACGGTTCCGGCCCAGCGTATCTGTCCGAACGCATCTCCCTTTACGTCCCATCTCGGAGTCTGAGATCCTCTGGGGAGGCCCTGCTCTCGACCCCGCCTCTGTCACAAGTGAGATTGGCGGGGACGAGGAGCAGGGCCTTCTCAGTGGTGGCCCCTCACCTATGGAATTCACTCCCCGGGGAGATCAGATCAGCAACATCCCTCCTTTCATTCAGAAAGAAATTAAAAACATGGATGTGGGACCAGGCGTTTGGGCAATCTGGCAGATGAATAAGGGACTGTGACGATGGATAGGAATTGGACAAGGTGGAACGAAATATGAACTCTGAGTTGGCGAACGCTGTGTCTGAGATTGGCTATTGATTGTGTGATATATTGTTGTTTTAATTGTTTTTAATTGTTGACCATTTAATTGCTGGTTTTATATGTTATTGTATTTGTGTAGGCACCAAGATGTGCCTTTTTGTAAGCCGCCTTGAGTCCCCCCTCGGGGGTTGAGAAGGGCGGGGTAGAAGTACACGAAATAAATAAATAAATAAATAAATAATCCAATACAACAGCCAGCATAGTGACCTTGTTTGCTGTTTGTTTATTTATTTATTTATTTTACATTCTTTATATCCCGCCCATATCAGCCGCAGGCGACTCAGGGCGGTCTACATATCGGCACAATTCGATGCCATCAATACATACTATATCCTCTCGTTTACTAATCTTGTTGTGTTTCAAATAATAATAATAATAATAATAATAATAATAATCTTTATTTATTTATTGTGTCAGAAGTGAATTGAGGGTACAGTTATATTTAAAAGCACAAAGTTTAAAAACTTGGCACTCATACTAAATTTCTTTTTACCAGTAGCTGGCCACTTGGAGTGCCTCTGGTGTTGTTATAAGGAGGTCCTCCATTGTGCATGGGGCAGGGTTCAGGCTGCATTGTAATAAGTCATCTATGGCTTGCTCTTCTCCACACTCACATGTTGTGGTCTCCACTTTGTGGCCCCATTTCTTAAGGTTGGCTCTGCATCTTGTGGTCCCAGAATGCAGTCAGTTCAGTACCTTCCAAGTCACTCAGTCTTCTGTGTGCCTAGGAGGGAGTTTCTCATCCGGTCTCAGCCACTGATTGAGGTTCTAGGTTTTAGCCTGCCACTTTTGGACTCTGGCTTGCTGAGGTGTTCCTGCAAGTATCTCTGTAGATCTTTAAAAACTATTTCTTGACTTAAGGCATTGGCGTGCTGGCTGGTATCCAAGCAGGGGATGGGCCGGAGATGTCACTGCTTTGGTCCTTTCATTACTGGTTGCTACTTCCTGACGTATATCAGGTGTTGCAATATGAGCTAAGCTGTGTAAGTTTTCCAGCGGTATAGGGCGTAGATCACCTGTGATAATGCGGTATGTCTCATTAAGAGCCACATCCACTGTTTTAACATGGTGAGATGTGTTCCACATTGAGCATGTGTATTCAGCAGGACAGTAGCAAACCACAAGGGCAAATGTCTTCACTGTGTCTGCTCGTGATCCCAGGTTGTGCTAGTCAGCTTTCGTGTGATATTGTTTCTAGTGCCCACTTTTTCTTGATAGTCGAGTAGTGCTTCTTGTAAGTCAGAGCATGGTCCAGAGTGACTCCCAGGTATTTTGGTATTCCTTCCCAGGTAATCCTCAGAGTTCAAGATGCATGTTTGTTCTTAAGGTGAAAAGCACACGTTTGTGTTTTAGATGGATTAGGGATCATTACAGGGTTTTCCCTGTAATAGTCAGTAAGAGTGAGGGAGACATTGTTTTTAAAAGGGGATTCTTATGGATGCTTTCAATGACTGTAAATCCCATATGTCCTGATTTAGAATCATAGAGGTGGAAGAGACCTCATGGGCCATCCAGTCCAACCCTCTGCCAAGAAGCAGGAAAATTGCATTCAAAGCACCCCCGACTGATAGCCATCCAGCCTCTGTTTAAAAGCTTCCAAAGAAGGAGCCTCTACCACACTCCAGGGCAGAGTTTCACTGCTGAACAGCTCTCAGGAAGTTCTTCCTAATGTTCAGATGGAATCTCTTTTCTTGTAGTTTGAAGCCATTGTTCCGCATCCTAGTCTCTAGGGGAGCAGAAAAGAAGTCCGCTCCCTCCTCCCTATGACTTCCTCTCACATATTTATACATGGCTATCTGTCTCCTCTCAGCCTTCTCTTCTTCAGGCTAAACATGCCCAGCTCTTTAAGCCGCTCCTCATAGGGCTTGTTCTCCAGACCCTTGATCATTTTAGTCGCCCTCCCCTAGACACATTCCAGCTTGTCAATATCTCTCCGCAATTGTGGTGCCCAGAATTGGACACAATATTCCAGGTGTAGAATAGTGAGGTAGCATGACTTCCCTGGATCTAGACACTATACTCCTATTGATGCAGGCCAAAATCCCGTTACCAAAATCCCGTTACTATATCCCGACTATTTACTCCCATATGTCCTGATTTGCAGAGGCCTTTGTTTGCAGAAGGTGGTGATAGTTTGGGAAAACGTTCCTGCAGAGTGGAAGTTATTTTTCAGGGATAAAAGTACATCAGGACAGAACTGGTTAGCTTGTATGCCCCTAGCTTGTACTCCCCTAATTTCCCAGCCGCTTGAAGTATCGACCTATAGGTATTTTCTAACTGAGTGTTCATGGCCGGAGAACAATAGACTATAGTTGTGCTATTGTTTAGATCCCACGTGTGCCTCCTTGCCTGTTAGAATTATGGAGAGCCAATGAACATCTGTGGTGCCAGTTTAGACCAATTAGATAATTGATTGCTGTAGACCAATGAGAATATGTCTTTAATTCTCTGTCAAAATGATAAAAGCCTTGCAGCCCCATTTGGGGGTTTGACAGACCTTTTATGCTCCATGCATTCTGTCCCTATTGGTTCTACAGTTGGGATTCAACAGTTGTCTTCCTTTACATCCGTCCACTTGAGCCCAGGGGACTCCTGGCAACGTGTAGAGAGCTGGAGAAGTACCAGTGAGCGATTGCCCCTACAAGAGCACCTAAAGCTTTGGAAAGCTTCTGTTCAGGCATTTCAAAGCTCCCTGCTTGGGCGGTGATGGCATGATCATCAGCATAGATGAAACTCTTTCTATTTCTTCTGGCAGCGGCTGGTCATTTGTGTAAACGTTAAACATTGATGGAGCAAGCACGCTCTCCTGAGGCAGGCCGTTCTTCTGTTTTCGCCATCTGCTTCTCTGGCCCTGGAACTCAGCAAAAAAGCTCCTGTTTTGTAGCAGATTTTCTATGAAGCAGGTGAGGTGGTAGTCCTTTGTGATATTATAAGTTTTTCTCAGGAGAAGGCAATGATTTATAATAATAATAATATTTAACCCTATAATAATAATAATAATATTTAACCCTATAATAGTAATAACAGCCAGTAGGCTGTTAGGAATTGTGGGAGTTGAAGTCCAAAACATCTGAAGGGCCAAAGTTTGCCCATGCCTGGCTTTATTGTTATTATCATCATCATTATTATTATTGGCTTAATTATTAATATTATTGTAGGGTTAAATATAACCCACTGCGGTGGCGCAGTGGGTTAAAGCACTGAGCTGCTGAGCTTGTTGATCGAAAGGTCGCAGGTTCGATTCCGGGGAGCGGCGTGAGCTACCGCTGTCAGCCCTAGCTTCTGCCAACCTAGCAGTTCGAAAACATGCAAATGTGAGTAGATCAATAGGTACCGCTCCGGCGGGAAGGTAACAGCACTCCATGCAGTCATGTCGGCCACATGACCTTGGAGGTGTCTACGGACAACGCTGGCTCTTCGGCTTAGAAATGGAGATGAGCACCACACCCCAGAGTCAGACATGACTGGACTTAATGTCAGGGGACTACCTTTACCTTTAGGGTTAAATATTATTATTGTTGTTGTTATTATTATGACTAGGTCTATAATTCTGTTTTCTTTTTGCCTTTAAAAGGATTTCCTGTTTCATTATGCGAATCTATAGAGACCTGGGATGGGGATGACAATAGCATACAAAGGGATGCCAATCTGGGTACCAAAGCAAAGAGGAGATGTGTTACCATGGCAACCAGGTTGGGAGGGGGCATCCTGGGCATGGGTGAGACTAGGTGGGGAAGGAGAAAAGCGATGGGCCTTTAAGGGTTGTTTCTGTAGCAACACAGAGAGGCAGGGAAGAGAAAGGATGGAGAGTCAGGGAGGATACTGTTGCCATGGCAACAGGAGGGCCTGGGTTGTGTTCTTCCACAGCAACAGAGGGAGGGATGCTGGAGGCACCTAGCAACAGGCATCTCTCGCCATGGCAACAAGGGAGAACAGGGAGCCCGGCTGGGAACTGGGGAGCCATCATTGATTGGCCGATTCTTGCAGCCTCAGCCCACATTTTGCTCACCCGGTGATGAACCCCAACCTGCCATTCAGTCAAATGCAAAAGGATTTGCAACATGCACCATGCGCTGGCTCATCCCTATGGAAGTCAATTGCATTTGATACAAGAACAAAGCAATGCTGCTAACGGTGGTGCAGAAGTAAGGTGTGGTTCCTATGAGTTCCAAGATGAACCTAAAGCCCGCCTATCAGAAGACATTGCCTTCCTCAGGGACTTAGAGAGTGTGGCTCTCTTCTGAAGGTCACCCATCAGATAGGAGCCCCCGGTGGTGCAATGGGTTAAACCCTTATGCCGGCAGGACTGCTGACCGACAGGTCAGGGGTTCAGATCTGGGGAGAGCGGGTTGAGCTTCCTCTGTCAGCTCCAGCTCCCCATGCAGGGACATGAAAGAGGCCTCCCGCAAGGATGGTAAAACATTAAAACATCTGGGCATCCCCTAGGCAACGTCCTTGCAGAAGGCCAATTCTCTCACACCAGAAGCAACTTGCTGTTTCTCAAGTTGCTCCTGATCGACAGGTCATTTGGTTCGAATCCGGGGAGAACAGGTTGAGCTCCCTCTGTCAGCTCCAACTCCCCATGCGGGGACATGAGAAGCCTCCCACTAGGATGGCAAAACATTAAAACATCCAGGCGTCCCCTGGGCAACGTCCTTGCAGATGGCCAATTCTCTCACACCAGAAGCGACTTGCAGATTTTCAAGTAGCTCCTGACTAACATGTCAGTTGGTTCAAATCCGGGGAGAGCAGGCTGAGTTCCCTCTGTCAGCTTCAGCTCCCCATGTGGGGACATGAGAGAAGCCTCTGACAAGGATGGTAAAACATCAGGAATTGTGGGAGTTGGAGTCCAAAACACCTGGAGGACTCAAGTTCGCCCATGCCTGGTCTAGACTGTAGAATAGATGCAGTTTGATCCCACTTTACCTCAGTGCTATGGAATCCTGGGAGTTATAATTTGGTGAGGCACCAGCCCTCTTTGGCAGAGAAACCTTGCAAAACAACAAATCCCAGGACTGCATATCATTGAACCATGGAAGTTCAATGGATGGTAAAACATCAAAACATCCGGGCATCCCCTGGGCAACGTCCTTGCAGACAGCCAATTCTCTCACACCAGAAGCAACTTGCAGTTTCTCAAGTTGCTCCTTACACGAAAAAAAAAACATTGGATTTCCATGGCTGAGCAGGGATTCAGATCCTGGATGCCAGATCTATGATCCTACATTCAAATCAAAATCTTCTTGCACAAGTATGCAGCGTTCTTACACAAGAAGGTTTCGTTGCGCAACTTGTTGAGCAATGTGTGCTATTTAAATCAACGAGGCCCAGCCTCTTTGGGTTCATCCACACTGTAGACTTAATGCAGCTTGACCTCACTTTAACTTCCATGGTTCAATGATATGCAATCCTGGGATTTGTTGTTTTGCAAGGTTTCTCTGCCAAAGAGAGCTGGTGCCTCACCAAATTATAACTCCCAGGATTCCATAGCATTGAGGCAAAGTGGGATCAAACTGCATCTATTCTACAGTCTAGACCAGGCATGGGTGAACTTGGGCCCTCCAGGTGTTTTGGACTCCAACTCCCACAATTCCTAACAGCCTCAGGTTCCTTCCTTTTCCCCCTCAGTTGCTTAAGCGGCTGAGGGGGGAAAGGAAGGGGCCTGAGGCTGTTAGGAATTGTGGGAGTTGGAGTCCAAAACACCTGGAGGGCCCACATTCGCCCATACCTGGTCTAGATGCACTCTTTTTTCTTTGTTTAGCTTTCACCGTGAGCCATTGCAAGGCCAAAAAGCCAGTCTAGAAATAGACTAACGAGAGCAGTTATTGGATTAAAAATTACAAGTCATGAGCCAAGCTTTATTAGCAGTGGCTGTTTATTAGCAATTGTCTCTCTTTTCCAAAGGCCAGGCAATTGGGACCCAAATGCCCCGTTGTGCAACCAGACCTAAAGGCTGCTTTGGCCTCACCTTAATCCCAATAATAAAAAATAAAGGAACTGCGCTCCCCTCTTTTGGCATTCCTCCATTGCTTGGCCATTGCTGCAGGGAAACACACCCAGGTTGCAACACATTGCAAACTCCCCTCCTCCCCTCCTCCAAGAGTCAAAAGGGAAATTTAGATTAATTTTTTTTGCAAAAGTGGTTTGAAAGACAAGCTTTAGAAGAAACACCATAAATTCACTATGTAATAAAATTTGGGGAAAAACTGATCCTGGGTTGCTGGGCTGTATGGCCATGTTCCAGAAGCATTCTCTTATGACATTTTGTCCACATCTATGGCAGGCATGCTCATAGATTGCGAGGTCTGTTGGAAACTAGGCAAGTGAGGTTTATATATCTGTGGAATGATGTCCAGGGTGGAAGAAAGAACTCTGTCTGTTGGAGACAAGTGTGACAATTACAATTGGCCACCTTGATTAGCATTGAATGGCCTTGCAGTTTCAAGGCCTGACTGCTTCCTGCCTGGGGGAATCCTTTGTTGGGAGGCAATTCGCTGGCCCTGATTTGTTTCTGTCTGGAATTCCCATTTTCTGAGTGTTTGTCTAGAGTTTTTTAAATACTGGTAGCCAGATTTTGTTCATTTTCATGGTTTCCTCCTTCCTGTTGAATTTGTGCACATGCTTGTGGATTTCAATGGCTTTTAAAAAAATACCGGCAGTCAGATTTTGTTCATTTTCCTCCTTTCTGTTCAAATTGCCCATCTGCTTGTGAATTTCAGTGGGTTCTCTGTGTACCCTGACACGGTGGTTGTCAGAGTGGTCCAGCATTTTTGTGTTCTCAGATAATATGCTGTGTCCAGGTTGGGTCATCAAATGGGATTTTGGGATTTTTTGCCTGCATCAATAGGAGCATAGTGTCTAGATCTATTCTGCTTTGGTTAGACCACACCTGGAATATTGTGTCCAATTCTGGGCACCACAATTCAAGAGAGATATTGACAAGCTGGAATGTGTCCAAAGGAGGGCGACTAAAATGATCAAGGGTCTGGAGAACAAGCCCCATGTTTAGCCTGAAGAAGAGAAGGCTGAGAGGAGATATGATAGCCATGTATAAATATGTGAGAGGAAGCCACAGGGAGGAGGGAGCAAGCTTGTTTTCTGCGTCCCTGGAGACTAGGACGGAACAATGGCTTCAAACTACAAGAGAGGAGATTCCATCTGAACATGAGGAAGAACTTCCTGACTGTGAGAGCCGTTCAGCAGTGGAACTCTCTGCCCCGGAGTGTGGTGGAGGCTCCTTCTTTGGAAGCTTTTAAACAGAGGCTGGATGGCCATCTGTCAGGGGTGATTTGAATGCAATATTCCTGCTTTTTGGCAGGGGGTTGGACTGGATGGCCCATGAGGTCTCTTCCAACTCTTTGATTCTATGTTCTGCTATGGCTGACTTCTCTGGTTGAATTAGTCTGCAGTGCCTTTCATGTTTCTTGGTTCCCCCAGGCAGGAAGCAGCCAGCCTTTCACGCTGCAAGGCCATTTAATGCTAATCAAGGTGGCGAATTGCAACATTCACACTTGCCTCAAACAGACAAAAGAGTTCTTTGATTCACCCTGGACATTCCACAGACATATAAACCTCCCTTGCCTAGTTTCCAACAGACATCACCACCTCTGAGGGTGCCTGCCATAGATGTGGGCAAAACGTCAGGAGAGAATGCTTCTGGAACATGGCCATACAGCCTAGAAAACTCACAGCAACCCAGTGATTCCGGCCATGAAAGCCTTCAACAACATATTTTGTGTTCCTGGTATGAAAGTGTTATTTTTGTTTAATTGTGCAGTACTTACTTTGAAATAAGTTGCTCTACTCCAGAAACTTTGTTTTTGAGGCTGACACAAACTATGTTGAATTGTTTGAGATTCTATTGAAAAACTAGAGCAAAATGTGCTGCCAGGTGTCTGACTACCCTTCAGATAAGGGCGTCTACATCAGCAACTACTGCAGTTAGAGACCTCAAATTTTGGAAACTTAGTTTAACATCTGACTGGCGCAACAGCTAAAATTTGAACAAAATTTGAGACGTGATGGTGGGAAGGCTTAGACCACTTGGCATGTAATTATCCTTTAGCAAAATGTGCTGCAGGATGTCCCTCCTACAAGGACAAAGTTTTTACAGTTTAATAATTTTTCCCATGTTTTTATGATAGAACTAATTAGGAAATGACATTTATGACCCAAGAACAATTTTTTTTATATAGTGTTATTATTATGCTTTAATATCTCAATGGAGACCCAAAGTGGCTCATTGTTTGCCTGAGCAGTTTCTCACTTTAATAGTTATGTCTTGGGCCCAAAATTCTGCATGGTGCAACAACACTGTAGACGGAATGCAATTTGGGCACCACTTTAACCTCAGTGTTTTGGGATCCTGGGAGTTTTAGTTTTACAAGGTCTTTTGCCTTTTCTGCTTAAGACAGCCAACTATAAACCCCAGGATGCCATAGCATGGAGCCATTGCCATTCAAATAGGGTCAGAATGCATCACATGGTGTAGAGCCAGCTACAAAGAGAAAAGGTGCACCTATATCAGGCACGGGCAAACTTTGGCCCTCCAGGTGTTTTGGACTTCAACTCCCACAATTCCTAACAGCCGGTAGGCTGTTAGGAATTGTGGGAGTTGAAGTCCAAAATACCTGGAGGGCCAAAGTTTGCCCGTGCCAGATCTATATTGTAGATTTGATGTAGTTTGGTATCACTTGTACTGTCATGTCTGAATGCTATGGAATCATGGGAGTTGCACCATGCACTCTTGGGCAGAGAAGGCTCAAGACCTTGCAAAACTACAACTCCCAGGACTCCATAGCATTGAGCCAGTTCACTTGTGGTCAAACTGCATTCATTCCAGTGTAGAGATGCACTCAAAGAGGCTTTCTTTGCAAACGTCTCTTTGTTCCCATTACTGGGAGTTGGCTCCAGTTCCATCTCCATCTCTTCCCAGTCCTCCAGGTTGCAGAGATCCAGTTCCCTGGAGTTCAAGGGGGTTCATCCCTTTCCCTTGGAAACCTTCCCAAAGAACACGAAGCGGAGGAGGTCAGGAAGGAAAGAGAACAAGGATTTGTTTGGATTTCTTTTCTTTTCTTTTCTTTTTTACAAAACAATGTCTAAAACACAAAAGGTATAAAAATACAGTATCTGTAGATATATATATATTTTAAAAAAGACAGCCCAACAGTCATAACAATGCATTCCAAAGGATACAAAAACCCAAGATAAGAAACTTTTCAGTGGACAAAATAAAAGAATGAGGTAAAAAGCAAATCCAAAGGTGAACTCAGTGCATTTCCAGTGAAGAAATGGGATGCATCTACACTGTGGAAATAACGCTGTTTGAGATCACGTTTCACTGCCATGGCTCAATGCTATAGAATCCTGGGAGTTGTCGTTTGTCAAGAGACCAATGGTATTTGGCTGAAAAAGCTAAGATCTTGCAAAACTACAACTCCTAGGACTGCATTGCACTGAGCCATGGCAGTTCAAGTGATCCCAAACTGCATTGGTTTTGCAAAGTCTCTGCCCAAGAATGCTAAACTACAACTCCCAGGAATCTAAAGCAGTGAGCCACAGCAGTTGAAGCAGGGCCAAACTGCATTAGTTTTGCCAAGTATTTACCTTTCTCTGCCCCAAAATGCTAAACTACAACTCCCAGAATTCCAAAGCATTGAGCCATGGGAGTTCAAACGGCATCAAACTGCATTCGTTTTGCAAAGTCTTTACCTTTCTCAGTCCCAAAATGCTAAACTACAACTCCCAGCATTGCGTTGCAATTCATTGAGCCATGATCAGTTCAAGTGGCGTCAAAACTAACTTAATTCCACAATCTAGATGCATCCAAGGAAGAGAAGAACGGTGCCAGTGCATTTGGGGAATACGGAGTCCGTTAAAAAAAGTCCTGCGAATGAATGTAAAAGAAAGTGCTAAATGTGGGCAAAAAGGGTACTGTTCTCAGCGGAGCCCCTTGAGCTGGGAGATGCGCTTCAGGAGCTGAACCTGGTGCCGCTTGAGGCGCTTCTTCTCGGCCATCATCTCCTGCTCTGCGCCCAGCAGGGACTGCAGAAACTCAGCGGCCTTGCTGAGGACCACCACTTTGGGGGTCTTGGGGCAGGAAGCCAGGCCAGGCACCGCGTCCCGCAAGGCCAGGAAGCGGGAACGCAGGTCATTGCGCCGTTTGCGCTCCAAGTCATTGTGGTTGCGCCGCTTGGAGAGATCCTCCCCATCCGAACCATGGGGGAAAAGTTCAGGAGGGGAACTCTCTGCTGCTTGGCCCCCATCGTCCTGAGGAGAAGCGTCATCATTCTCCTCCTCTTCCTCCTCCTCTTCTTCCTCCTCCGGGGCAGTCTTTTCCAAGGAAACGTCCGGCGGAGAGCGGGCGGCGTAGTTGTGCTGCTGCTGGTGGATGGAGATGTGGAAGTGCTTCATGCAGGGGTCCCAAGGGTCAGCCCGGACGGTGATGGTGACTGGCTTTCTGGCGGCCAGAGACTGGCGTTTCTCCACCGTCACCACATCAACCTCTTCCCCTTCTGCAAATGGGAGCAAGAGGAATACACGGTCAGCAGAGTGGCCAGGTCAAGGGATGTACAGGCCGTCCCCAAGTTACAAACAAGTCAGTTTATGTAAGTTAGTTCTTAAGCTGAATTTGTATGTAAGTTGGAACAGGGACATGTTTTAAGTGTCACTCCAGTCATGCATGCGTATATATTATACATATATATATCACACACACACACACACACACTATATATATATATATATATATATATATATATATATATATATATATATATATATATAATATGGATATGCATAGATGCATACACACATACATACACACACACACAATATATATATATAGAGAGAGAGAGAGAGTGGGGGAGCCCCTGATGGCACAGTGGATTAAACTGCTGAGCTGCTGAATTTGTTAACCAAAAGGTCACAGGTTTGAATCCGGGGAGCGGGGTGAGCTTCTGCTGTTAGCCCCAGCTTCTGCTAACCTAGCAGTTCAAAAACATACAAATGTGAGTAGATCAATAGGTACCGCTCTGGTGGGAAGCTAACGGTGCTCCATGCAGTCATGGCGGCCACATGACCTTGGAGGTGTCTATGGACAACGCCGGCTCTTCGCCTTAGAAATGGAGATGAGCACCAACCCCCAGAGTCGGACACGAGTGGACTTAATGTCAGGGGAAAACCTTTACCTTTAGTATGAGAGCTTTAGATGAGCATACGGAAGGATCAACACCCCTGTGGGTTTTGTTTTGCTATCTGTGCTCCTCTTTTGAAGATTTCACCACACCTTCTGTCCTTGTTTTCCAAAATCCAATTACACTATGTAACAAAATTTGTTCCTGGTTTGAAAGTATTATTTCCAGTTTACTTGTGTGATGCTTACTTTGAAACTGCTTACTTTGTTCCTGTTATAAATGTCATTTTGTAATTACTCCTATCATTATCATCATCATCGTGTATAAAATAATGTAAGATAATAATAAAAGATAATATAAAATAATTGTGATACTGTAAATAATAATAATAATAATAATAATAATAATAATATAATAACAACAACAGCAACACTATGCAACACGTTTTTGTTCCTGGGTTAAAAATGTCATTTCCTAATTGATTCTATCACAAAAACATGAGAAAAAATTATTAAACTGCAAAAACTTTGTTTTTGCGAGAGGGACATCCTGCAGCACTTTTTAAAATGACTATCTCATCAAGTTAACAAATTCAACAGAGTTTGTGGTAGTCACAAAAATGAAGTTTCTGGAGGATGACAACTACTTTCAAAGTAAGCACCACACAATTAAACAGGAAATAGTACTTTCAAACCAGGAACAGGTTTTTTTTTCAAATTTTGTTACATAGTGTAATTGGATTTTGGGAAATTTGGCTTGTTGTGGAAACAAAGATTGGGATAAAGTTTTAGTGGAGACCCCATTTTCCCCATGATAATAACTCCTCCATGAGTGAATTTCCCTTCCAAGGTAGATTTCTCTCACATCCTGTTGTCTCAACCCATTCTTAACTAGGAGTTGTTTATAACTCAGATGTTTGCAACTTGGGGATGGCCTGCATGGATGACACTCAGTTCTGCTGTGGTCAAGTCTTGCCTGTAATTAATTCATTTTCAGCCACTGCAATTCCGGGAGATGTTGACAAGAGGGCATGTGTCCAGACTGGGACTTAAATATCCTAAATGGCAGCAGATCCCGTCTAATACTGGGATCTAAGCAGGGTCAATCCTGGTTAGCCCTTGGAGGGGAGACTGCCAAGGAATCCCAAGTACCAGGGTTGCCCAGTTCTGTTTTGGGCTGACTCTATAGTGTAGATGGGCCCAGTTTTAGAAATGCTCGATAAAGAGGTGTCCAACTGCATTAATTCTACATGTGGTGATGATGGTTTCTGTTTCTTCTCTCCCAAAGGAGATTCAAGCATCTCACTCTAAAAATCATGCAATATGTACATTAAAACTCAAAGCAACATTAAAATAGAAGTAACAATACATGGTGGCACAGCAGGTTAAACCACTGAGCTGCTGAACTTGCTGACTGAAAGGTTGGCGGTTCGAATCCAGGGAGTGAGGTGAGCTCCTGCTGTTAGACCCAGCTTCTGCCAACGCAGCAGTTTGAAAACATGCAAATGTGAGTAGATCAGTAGGTACCGCTTCTACGGGAAAGTAATGGCGCTCCATGCAGTCATGCTGGCCACATGACCTAGATGTCTACAGACAATACCGGCTCTTGGGGTTAGAAACGGGTGACTACTGCAACGCGCTCTACGTGGGGTTGCCTTTGAAAACTGTTAAGGAAGCTTCAAATGGTCCAGCGAATGGTACTCAGGCTACTAGCAGGAGCAGCGCTCAGGGAGCATAGAACTCCGCTGTTGTACCAACTCCACTGGCTGCCAATTTGCTACCTGGCACAATTCAGAGTGCTGGCTTTAGCCTATAAAGCGCTAAACGGTTCTGGCCCAACTTGCCTATCCAAATGTGTCTCCCCTTATGAACCTTCCAGGAATTTAAGATCATCTGGGGAGGCCCTGCTCTCGATCCCGCCTGCCTCACAGGTGCGCTTGGCGGGGACAATGGACAGGGCCTTCTCAGTGGTGGCCCCTCAGCTGTGGAACTCCCTTCCTGGGGATCAGGCCCATAGCCAGGATTTTGTTTCGGGGGGGGGGGGGGCTGAGTCTGAGTGAAAGAGGGTCTACCCTAGCAAACCTTTTGTATCGTTACCCCAATAGCCCCATGCATATGGGATATATTGAGCATGGTGATCAGATCATGATATAAATAAACATAACAGTTTAAATAATGTACCAGTAAGGCCTTCTCGCGGACCACCATGAGAATTTCGGGGGGGGGGGGCTAAAGCCCCCCAAGCCCTCCCCCCAGCTACATGCCTGCTGGGGATATTAGATTGCCCCCCCCCCCTTCCTCCTGACCTTTAGAAAAGAGTAAAACCTGCCTCTTCGAGGAAGCTTTTGGAACCTCATTGTAACTAGATAAACTCAGTATTGTGACTGAATATGGAATGGCTTAAAAATGCAAATGGACATGGATTTAAACCCAGAAGTCATTGATTTTAATAGTTTTAAATTGTTTTTATATGAATTTTATTATGTGATTTAACCTGTTTTAAACTATGCATTTATGTGTGTTCAGCATTTAATTGTTGCCAGTCTGTACGCCGCCCTGAATCATGTTCAGGCTGAAAAGGGCGGGATAAAAGTGTGGTAAATAAGTAAATAACTGGGGATGAGCAACTAGACTTAATGTCAGGGGAAACCTTTACCTAACAATACATAGTTAAGACCAATACACTCACTGAAAACCCTTTTACAGTACTGTACATAAAACACAAATGCTGCTTATGGGTGAAAGGGTTTTTTTAGCAGCATGATACTTTTAAAAAGAAATGCAGGGTTGAGTGTCGCATCAGAGGTCTCGTCAAAAGAGCCCTGGGGCTGAAAGTGGCATGAAACTGCTATAAAGTGCAATGTGAACACCCCAAAAGCAACAACCAACATTCCTATACAATTCAGACCCTAACAATAATAGGGAGGACAAAAGGGCCGGGGTCCATAGAGGCTTACTGGGCTGGAAAACCCCTTCATCTCTGTCCCACAAAGAATTGCAAATGAAAGGAGGGAAGCAGCCTTTGTTTCTGCAGCTTGGCGCTTCAGGGATCCCCAGCTTTTCTTTGCAAACAAAATCCTTTCTAAAAGGGGGGTCTTCCCATTTTAAAAAGGGGGGGGGGAGTTAAAGGCTTTTGAACAGATGGCTCCTGTGAGTCTCAAAAGAAGAAAAGCTGCAACCTGAGGAGACTGAACAGACCAGGATAGAAAGAGTTTCTTTCTTTTGTTTTCCATATGCAAGAACAAGCAGTGATATGTGTATGTATGTATGTATGTATGTATGTATGTATATGGAATTTCCTATTTATTTTTTTTGCTACTATGATTTTTTTTGCATTTTTTTAAATGATTTTTTTTTGTTTGAGGCAAAGAGAATGTTGTGCAAAAATAAAAATAAAAAAATTGGGTCATTTTGTATGCCCCCCTCCTCCCAAACTTTGGAAATTGTTTGCAATAGTCCTCAAATGCAAAAAATTTAAATCAACTTCACTGCAGTTGACAATGCTTTTAATGCTGTTTCTCATATTCAAGATGAATTGCCTTAGCCTCATGGTGGCTTCCTTTAAAGAAGGTATCCAAAGTGCTGAATTCCAACCTATTCCATAAAACTTCAGTATCTCAGTAATAGCGTTCAAGTTCAGACTAAAACCTGGAGGAGATTCCACTGATATGCAAACCTCAACAACAACGGGCACCGTGCCTAAAGACCTTGGCCAGCACTTAAAAACAATCAGTGCTGACTAAATGACCATCTGTCAGCTGCAAAAGGCCACCCTACTCAGATCTGTACGCATTATTTACCAATACTCCACATAGTCCTAGACCAGCCTGGGGGTCGGGACTCCTGAAGGGGGGGTCACGAGAGGTGTGTGAGAAGAGTTGCCAAAGACCATCAGGAACCACAGTATTTTCTGTTGGTCATGGGAGTTCTGTGTGCCAAGTTTTGTTCAATTCCATCATTGGTGGAGTTCAGAATGCTCTTTGATTGTAGGTGAACTATAAAACCCCGCAACTACAACTCCCAAATGACAAAATTATCCCCCCCCCCCCATCTCCACCAGTATTCAAATTTTGGATATTTGTGCCAAATTTGGTCCAGTGAATGAAAATACATCCTGCATATCAGATATTTACGTTACAATTCTTAACAGTAGCAAAATTGCAATTATGAAGCAGCAACACAATTTTATGTTTGGAGGTCACCACAACATGAAGAACTGTACTAAGAGATTGTGGCATTAGGAAGATTGAGAACCACAACACTTGGGAAGTGTCCGACGTGTGATCCAACACAAAAGCCAGCATAGTGACCTTGTTTGCTGTGTACTAATCTTGATGTGTACCAAATAACAACAATAACGATAATAATATAACCACCCAA